GGAAAGGTCTCTTTTTCCACATTAAAATGACAGAGGCCATTGCATGCCAAGATGGCTAGTGAATTGTCGCTAATGCCATCATGGGCATCCTACTCTAAGAACCTCATCTAATGGTAATTGGCTCCCAAAGGCACCACTGACATGACTTTGGAGATTAAGTTTCTAGCACATAGATTGTATTGAGACATACTCAAATCATTACAGATGCCTTTGCCCAAAATTTCCCAGATAAGCCCACAATCTGAGGGGAAGACATTACCATTTAATATTTGCAAAGTTGTGAGTTCCTGCCTTCATTATTGCAATTACCTCTTCTTGATCTCCTTAAACTACAACTCCACTCAGGTCATGCCCCTCCTGAGAAACCTGTGCTAGAGTTGCAGATGCTGAGTCTGTCACTCAAGGTCTCTGCCGATGTGGACTGTGTAAGAGTGTAGAACCTGAGTGGCTCCAGGGGGACAGAAGTAAGACCAGCTGAGGAAGGAACTAAGAGCTAGACACCTGCTCAGCTTTGAGAAGGTCTCTGAGGTCCCTGTGGAGCATCCATGGAATGGGCAATCTCAGGGTTTCCAGAGGCTTTGCCATGTGCCTTCAGAGCAGCCATTGTCAACCCATGGGTCTCCACACTTTGGCAGTCCTCTGTCTCCAAAGACATTTGCATTTTGATTCATAGCAGTAGCAAAATTACAGTTCTGAAGCAGCAATGAAAGATTTTATAGTTAGAGGTCACCACAGCATGAGGAACTGTAGTAAAGTGTCACAGCGTTAGGAAGGCTGAGAACCACTAATCTACAGCTTCACCTGCTCTGGAACTGGAAAGGACTGGGTTTTCCTATAGCAACAGACTGACCCCCATGGTCTTAGCACCTCCACTCAAAGAGAGGCAGAGTCCCACGTGTAGACCAGGACCAGGACTGAGAGCCGCCCCCTCCTACTCCTGAGTTGGAGAGTAAAGTCACATGCCACCACTTCAGGGTTTTTCCGCTCTGATTCCTTATTCACATTATCAATGGAAGAATTTCTGTGTAGAAATTTCTAGATCCATCTCATTATGCATGGAAGGGGGTCCTCAAAGCTTCGTTTATATGGTAAATTTATATCTGGTTGAGGAAACAATTATTCACCTGAAAATTAGGGTGGAGACTTGACGGAGATTCACCTCTACCTATTGACTTAGTTATAACTAGTGTAGTAAGCTTGTGTTTTGTGCTCAGTTTTAGATGGGTTTTGCTGTAACTGAATCTTTGAGTCTTTGTAACTGAATTGGGGTCTAGGGCGACCTTTCTTAACAGGCTGCTATCATAATGATGAGAAACCCACAAGGTACAGAAATTGGCATGCTGGGTGCTATAGTGTATCACATGGGCCACATGATGAGTTGTCTGGGTCACACACTTTTATAGTAAACTAGGTTGAAGCTGTACTTAGCATGAGCAGTGGCTGTAATCTGGGCAGTTGTGATGTGGATGTTTTTTAACATCTCTCATAGGAATGGGATGTTAGCGATAGATCCCAGAAGGACCTTCCTGGACAGATGTGGCAGGCTATCTAAATTAGGATTAAGCTCTCACTCTGGAGCACCTGCCGGTTTTCTTTTGTAGAAGTAAAGGACTCAGTGGATAAGGCATCTTGGGAAGTGCACTCCTAACATGCAGTGCCCCCTGAAAGAACAGTACGTGGTTAACTCAGGAGAACCAGTAAGAGAAAGTGGGGCACCGAGACAAGGAAGACAGAGGTGTACAAAGTAGGCCAAGGCCCCAAGGGATTATCGAAAGATACTCTCTAGATACAGCAACTGGTCCTGATTCAGATGATCCCAGGCTCTTGGAGATGTTTAGATGATGAATAATTGCATATTTCCAACAAGAAATTTATGGAGATGTGATAGTTCTGATGCTTTCAAATTGAAGTCACAAATAACAAAGAAAAGTGAAGTGAGAAGCAGCTAGTAGAGTCTTGAAATGAGCATTTCTTTATAGGGAGAGAGAAAACAAAGACACAAAGACAAATGGCATGGCAGGGGACCTGTTAAGTGGGAGGAGACTGAGTCTGAGCTAGGAAGCAAAATTGTGCTGTGTGGGTGTCAGAGCTAGGCAGGAGAAATGAAAAAGTGTGATCCCAGGGATCGAGGCAAGAGTCCTGCCTGGGCAGTTTAATGAGACCCTCTCTCAAAATGAAAAACAGAAAGGATGAGGATTAAAGCTCAATGGTAGAGCACTCGCCTGGCATGTGTGAGGCCCTGAGCTTGATCCCTGACATCAGAGAGAAAGAGAGAGAGCAAAGTGTACTAGCTTTTGGTATTAATAACAGAAATTGGATGTGGTCAGCTTATGTCAAAAGGAAAATATTTACTCAGAACTGTGTAGACTATGGAAGTCCAGCCCAATATTAGCAACTAGGCTAATAATAACTTTTCTGTGATACTTTGGCAAAGAACATGGCTGTACTACTAGGATGGCCCAATAAGCTCCTCTTATATGTTTAATGGCTTTTCTGATCCCAAGTTCTGAAGTCTTCCACATTCCTCCAAAAACCAACATGGTCAGGTCTGTCACAACAGTAGTACCAACTTCTGTATCAGCTGCTTTTCTCTTGCTGTAGTAAGGCACCATGGCCAAGGCAACTGATAGAAGAAAGGGTTTATTTGAGCTGTGTTGCAGAGGTTAGAGTCTGTCACTACCATGGTGTGTAATCAGGCAGGCAACGGGGCATGGACAGCTGACAAATGGCAGCTTGGAGTACATGCAGGATACAGAAAGGGTGAACTCAAAGGGACATGAATCTGTAAACTCTCAAGCTCACCTCTAGTGACACACCTTTAAATCTTCCCTAAACAGTGCTACCAATGCAAGACCAAGCATTTAAACATCTGAGCCTTTGGGGCCCTTTCTTATTCAGACTACCAGATTCTACTCCCTGGCCCCCATAGGATTAAAACCATATCAAAATACAAAGTACATTCAGTCCAGCTTCAAACATTCCGTAGCCTTTCAGTCTCAACACCTTTTAAAAAGTCTAAAGTCTCTTCTGAGACTCAGGGCAATCTCTTAACTGTAACTCCCTGTAGGATCAAATTACATACTTCGGGCATACAATGGCACCTAATATAAGTGACCATTCCAAAAGGGAGGAAAGGGAGTAAGCACAGTGAGGAAATACTGGCCCAAAGCAAGACTGATGCCCAGCAGGATAAACTCTGAATCCTATAGCTGCGTGTCTGATGTCAAAGGGCTTAGATGGCTCCAGCCCTCCTGCTTTGCTGCCTGCAACAGTACCACAAGTTTTTTTCACAAGGCGGGGGGGGGGGGGGGGGGGGGGGGGACGACGACTCTGGTTTCCAGAAGTTCTGGGATCATAGCGTGCCTGACCAAAGCCAGTAGATACTAACCTCATGGCAGGATAAATGAAAACAGTCTATAATAGTAACTTTTCTTATCATTCTGACCAAATACCTGACAAAAACAATCTAAAAGAATTACTTATTTTGGCTCATGGTTTCAGAGTTAACAGTTGCTTTTAACTATATGTTGTTGGGGGCTGGAGAAATCGCTCATTGGTTAAGAGTACTGGCTGCTCTTCTAGAGGTCCGGAGTTCAATTCCCAGCAACCACATGGTGTGACACAACCATCTGTACCCATCATATCAGTCCCTCTTTTGGTATACATGAAGTCAGCTCACTCATATACATAAAATAAATTAATAAATATTTTTAAAATCTATATGTGGTTAGGCAGAATATCAAAACAGAGTAAGTGGTAGAACAGGGGTTTATTTCTTTGTTTGTTTTGAGATAGAGTCTCATTATGTAGCTCTGTTTGTCCTAGAACTCTCTGTAGACCAGACTGACCTCAGAGATCCACCTGCCTCTGCTTCCAAGTGCTGGAATTAAAGACATGTGCCACTATACCTGGCTTATTGAATGGGGTTGTTTGTTTGCTTTGTTTTGTTTTGTTTTGAGTTTTTGTTGTTGTTGTTTTGGTTTGGTTTGGTTTTTGGTTCTTCAAGACAGGGTTTCTCTGTCTATCAATCCTGGCTGTCCTGGAACTCACTTTGTAGACCACGCTAGCCTTGAACTCAGTGAGATCCACCTGCCTCTGCCTCTCATGTGCTGGGATTAAAGACATATGCCACCACCACTTGGCTTAGACCAGGTTTTTAAGAAGATATTTATTTTTATGTGTAAGTCTGTATGTGTACATGTTCTTTTTGTTTTTAAGATTTATTTATTATGTATACAGTGTTCTGCCTGCATGTATGCCTGTGGGCCAGAAAAGGATACCAGATGTCATTATGGATGGTTTTGAGCCACCATGTGGTTGTTGGATATTGAACTCAGAACCTCTGGAAGAGCAGCCAATGCTCTTAACCACTGAGGCATCTCTCCAGCTCCTATATATGTTCTTGTATGCTATGTGAGTGCAGGTACCTGTGGGAGCCAGAAGAAGGTGTAGAATCCCCCTGGGGCTGGGATAACAGTGGTTGTCAGCCATTTGATGTGGATTTTGGAATCTGAACTCAGATCCTCTGCAAGATCAGTAAGTGCTTTTAACCACCAAGCCATCTCTCCAGCCTAGAGACATATGGAAGCAGAGAAAAGAGTATTACAGGAAGAGATCAGGGCAAGATACAGCTCCAAGGACATGCTGCCAGGTCCGGCTTCCTGTGGCTTGGCCCTGCCTTTCACTGCTTCTGATATGCCATCATAGAATGAATCTGTCAAGGCTGACATGTTGATTAGGCCAGAGTCCTCCTGGCCTTATCTCTGGAGCTGCATCAGACTCACCCAGACATGTGCTTCACTAATCACTTAGTTGTTTCTTCATCTAACCAAATTAACAATCAAACTTAGCCATTACAGATGCTTCTTGAGGAAATGGACCTTTCTGATTGGCTGTTCCTTGTTCACTTGTTCACCCCTGGGGTCAGGAGGTGTTATTTTTTGAAAAAGGAAACAGTAAAAGGGGAGTAGATAAAATCCTCTTTTGTGTCTTTCTCCCAGGTGACCATGGAAACGGGTGGCCTCCCCCTGGAGCTGTGGCGTGTGATCTTAGCCTACCTGCATCTGCCTGACCTGGGCCGCTGCAGCCTGGTTTGCAGGGCCTGGTATGAGCTGATCCTCAGCCTTGACAGTACCCGCTGGCGGCAGCTGTGTCTGGGCTGCACCGAGTGCCGCCACCCCAACTGGCCCAACCAGCCGGATGTGGAGCCTGAGTCCTGGAGGGAGGCCTTCAAGCAGCACTACCTTGCCTCCAAGACCTGGACCAAGAATGCGCTGGACTTGGAGTCCTCCATCTGCTTCTCTCTGTTCCGCAGGAAGAGGGAGCGCCGTACCTTGAGTGTTGGGCCAGGCCGTGAGTTTGACAGCTTGGGCAGTGCCTTAGCCATGGCCAGCCTCTATGATCGAATCGTGCTATTCCCAGGTGTGTACGAGGAGCAAGGTGAAATCATCCTGAAGGTGCCAGTGGAGATCGTGGGCCAAGGGAAGTTGGGTGAGGTGGCCCTGCTTGCCAGCATTGACCAGCACTGCTCAACCACACGCGTGTGCAATCTTGTCTTCATGCCAGCCTGGTTCTCACCAATCATGTATAAGGTGGGTGCACATTGGATGCCATCCAGTCCCGTCCCCACAACCTTGGCCTCATTAGTGCATTTCCCTTTTGGGTTAGGGTTGAGAGTTTAGTGGTTAATTCCTAAGCACATAGTCATGAGAATTGAACTAGTTGAAAAGTAGGCACATGGGTCAGTATAGTACAGGATTATACTTTGTACCTTACTTCCTTCAAAGCCACGTCAGGAATGAGAGGTGGGCTAAGGACAAAAATATTATGCTCCTTCTATTCCTAACCAGATCAGCTAGAGCACCAGGTTGAGCAGTGAGGTGGCAAAGTGTGTAGCAGCATGGTGACAGGACATTGGCTGCTGACAGCAGCATGTCCAGAGAAGGGCAGTGTCTCTCAGCACCTGCACCCTCATCCTCGCTGGAGAGGCTGCTTCCCAAGGGCCCCTGGAGGGAAAGTTGGGAAATACTGTGCCTTTCATTAGCACAGAACAGTCATGTTCTAAACACAGCACATGCACAGGAGATGGTGGTCCTGCGGAAAAGCAGGGAGCCTGTGCATTGGCTAGAAAGGGGCCTGTCACGGCCAGGTTTGTCTCAGTTGTAATGATCAGCACCTCACTGGTCATTTGTGATGCTCAGTATGCACCAGGCATGTGCTTTACAGACAGACCTCACTTCCTCCTCCCCACAGCCCTGGCTTTATAGATGAGAGAAACTGGGGCCCAACAACAGCAGCACAACCACAGTTTCAGGCGTATAGGCAGAGCTTGGATCAAAGCCTTATTAATAGTCAAGACTACCTCCCATCTAACCAGACATCTGTGGTGATCTGTAGTTGTGGAATAAGCTGTGGTTTCCTTGGGCCGGTGACGGGTGTTAACAAAAGTCAGATGCTAGTAAGTTTTCCAGGAGGGTAATTAGCTATAGCTCCTCGGGAGACAGGCTCCTTGCAGGCTTCTTACAGCCTTCTGGTTAGTGCTGGGTCCCAGATTGTCTTTCAACTGAAAAGGCAGGGGGCTGAGATGTCTGTGGCACTGACCACGCCCATTGGGGGGTGGAGCCATGGAGCCTTCCACAGGAGTGACCTGTGGAAGGAGGTCAGAGGGGGCCAGGAAAGGCGCTCTCTTTCTGGCGTGACTCGGACAGGAGAGGATCGGGTTGAATTTCCTGGTGTTCATCTGTCTAGGTTGTAAGTTATTTCTCCCTGAATAAACATCTATTCGGCCTATTTGTTTATCCTGATCCTTATTTAACCGCGTTATCTGGTGTCAGAAGTGCGGATTTACCTGGGTTTCACCCAGGTGGGCAGAAGCCGCTCCCCCACCTTCCCCAACGGGCAGGGTTTAACCAGGTGGACTCACCACAGCTTTGGGACATTTGCCTCTTCCTTGCCGCAAAGGAGATCTTTGCCGCTAAAGCAGACCTGAGAAGGCACTCACCGTTGCCTGAAAACTGAAAAGGCTAGGACAATTTCACAGAAGTGTTCAGTGATTTCTTAAGAGACCTCCAACACTGACTGCATTTCCAGGAAACTGAGAGGACCAAGTAGGGAAGAAGGCTTCAGTGGCAGCAGGGACAGCCATGGAGCCTATGGAAGCCCCAAGAACACCTGGGGTCAGGGAAGTTACCTCCTCCAAAAACTCTCAAGGCTGTCATTGATAGAGGATGTTTTTAATTGCTTAAGGGGTAGGTCTGCTTGGGTTGTTGGTTAGACTCATGGGACACTCCTTTGTTTTATGGTTGTGATGTATCTGGTGGAGTTTATGTGAATCCAGAAAAGAGTACAATGCAGTTTGACCTCACCAAGCTTATCTGTCACTCAGGCCCAGGGTCCCAATTGAATTAACAGGTTCTGTGCGTTCCCATCCTACCCCCAGACTCCTGAGGTCCTTGTGTCTTTGACCTCAGATCATAATAGCTATCTGTCACTGAGTGCTAGCTTTGTGACTTATAAACTAGCAAGCCCCTTGCTACAGACAGGGAAACTGAGACTTAGAAAGATGAGGCCATCTCTGGGTCTCACACTTAGAAGAGGCGGAGCATACTCCACCCCTGGCAGCAGTCCCTGTCTTTCCTCTTCGAAGGTAAGACCTGCCACTTGCTTTGCTCCATCACACACCAGTAGCTGCACAGATTGTTCTCTCCCAGTGCCTGTGGCTGGGCCAACCCCATAGCCTGTCCCAGTCAAGGCAGTGCTCAGTCCCTTCTTGCCTGTCCTTTACTGTGCCCATTAGAAGGATAATGGATTTAGAAGGATGTAATGATTGGCAGTTTTTCTTGTGCTTCTTTGATGTGGACCTACTCTCCAGTTCCTTTGAGTGACAGCTGACATCCCAGCCTTTTACAGAAGGGTAGGACATGAAACCAAGGGCCTTTCTGTCTCTGCCCTCATTGAAGAGTAGTTTGGGTGATGACCATCAAAACAAAGTTTGGCTTCTTACCATGTCTTCTCCTTCTTGTCCCCCAGACCACATCAGGTCACATCCAGTTTGACAACTGCAACTTTGAGAATGGACACATCCAGGTCCATGGCCCGGGTACCTGCCAAGTGAAATTTTGTACCTTCAAAAACACCCATGTCTTTTTGCACAACGTGCCCTTGTGTATGTTGGAAAACTGTGAGTTTGTGGGTAGCGAAAACAACTCTGTAACTGTTGAGGGTCACCCGTCAGCAGATAAGAACTGGGCCTACAAGTACCTGCTGGGCCTAATCAAGTCCTCTCCAATCTTGCTCCCTGCAGAACACCATGATTTTTTAATGTCCTTGGACCTAGAGAGCCGGGACCAGGCCTGGAGTCCAAGGACCTGTGACATTGTCATCGAGGGCAGCCAGAGTCCTACCAGCCCAGCCTCCAGCTCTCCAAAGCCAGGCTCCAAGACTGGTTCCCAGGAGGCAGAAGTGGGCAGCGATGGGGAGAGGGTGGCCCAGACTCCAGAGAGCAGTGATGGTGGCCTGAGCCCCAGCGGTGAGGACGAGGATGATGAGCAGCTCACGTACAGACTGTCCTACCAGGTACAGGGCCCACGCCCTGTCCTGGGCGGCTCCTTTCTGGGCCCTCCACTGCCAGGAGCATCCATTCAGCTGCCCAGCTGTCTAGTGCTCAACTCACTGCATCAGGAGCTACAAAAGGACAAGGAAGCCATGGCCCTAGCCAGCTCTGTGCAGGGCTGCCTCATCCGCAAGTGCCTCTTCCGGGATGGGAAGGGTGGTGTCTTCGTTTGCTCTTACGGCCGAGCCAAGATGGAAGGAAACATCTTCCGGAACCTAACTTATGCAGTGAGGTGTATACACAATAGCAAGGTGCTGTCCCAAGGGCGGGCACTGTAGACTGAGGCCTCGATGGGTGACCATTGCCGAGAGCATGAGCCATGCTTTTTTGAGAGGGCTCCTGTGGCTGTGTGGAAAGGGTGTGATGAGCTATTTGCATTTTTTAAATGATTTTGAAGCTTTTAGATGTACCCGACTTCCTGTCCATCATCTAAGTTGGAGAAGGCAAACTTCTTCCCATTTCCCAGAAAAGAAAACAGAGGCCCAGAGAGTAAGACCCTGAGTCTTACTCAGGGTCATTGAGCAAGTCTGAGACAGAGCCCAGGTCTTATACCTCCACTTACGTGTTATTCTGCTTCTCAGACATGTTCCCTTGATTGTTTGTAGAAGAAATAAGTTTGCCTGTTTGGCATGGTCACTGCCTTCATTTTAGAATCCAGCGGGATGGTTGAAAAGGGTCTCTGCAGGAGTAGGATGACTAGAGCAGAGGGTGCAGGGCAAGGGGAGCATATGTGGTGGTCAAAAGGGAGTGCATTCTAGAAGCAAGCACATCCTGTTCTGGGCCTGTTTGTGAGGTTGATTTGCCCATGCAACTGGAACACATTGAGAGGTTGGGGGCTGGAGAGATGGTTTAGCACTTGTTGCTCTTCCGGAAGATCCAGATTTGGTTTCTAGCACCCAAATGGTGGCTCACAACCATCTGTAATTCCTGTTTCAGCGGACCCAAAGCCCTCTTCTGAACCCCATGGGCACCAGGCAAGCATATACGTACATACAGGGAAAATACCCATACGTATAAAATAAAATAAATCTAAAAAAAAAAAATTAAGACAAACTGTAGGAAGCAAGCAGGAGCTACCTTGCCCAGAGTGCTGAAAGATGGGCATCACACTAAGAGCAGCCCGCCAGCCACTGATGGGATTAGTGTCTTGAAGCTGAAGTCACGCTGAGTGCTGTGGAACAACTTCTGTGCCTGTTAATGGTTGGTGCCACGAGGGTTTTGAAGGGTGGACAGAAGGCCATGCAGAAGCAAGCGTAGCTACGCAGCTGGGCTGTGGTCCCAGCTCTCCACCATTGCACTGGGAATTACCTGCACCACTATACTGTGGAAAAGAGTGTTCCAGTGTGGCTTCTCTCCGAGGTCTGAGGGCCTGGTGCTGTAACATTAGCAGAGGTGCTCATAAACCGATAAGCATTGTACAGAGTCCAATATGGGGCTTAAAGGCATCTAGAATGGTTAATTACAAGTGTATTGTAAGTGGATATTACCAGGCCCACTTCTAAGGAAATCGTTAGATGGTGTTACTGTGAAAACACAAAACTATACTATGGTATAAGCAGAAAATTGATTTTGTTTTTAAGGGAAGAGGACCAAGCCTGTTGTGTATATCTGGCATATATACATGAGAGGCTGAAGCAGGAGGTTGGCCAGCCTGTTACATGGTGAGACCTTGTCTTGAAAGGCCACAGTCATGGAAGGAGGCTAGTTTACTTCCACAGGTGCCATGACGAAAGGTGGGGATTGGGCCTCAGGGAGGACTTTTCTTATCACATAGTTATTGATGGCATGGCTGCTGAGTGGAATGCTGGCCCTGCTGCCCGTGCTTCCCTCAGGTGTGGTGAAGATGATAGCAGGCTACATATAGAAAGTACGAGGTTGGTCATGGAGGGGCACGCCTGCAAGTTCAGCACCCAGGAGGTTAAAGCAGATTCACGGGCAGTCTCGGCTACGGATCTAGGCCCTAATGTTAAAAAAGAGAGAGAGAGAGAGAGAGAGCAGTGCCCCGGTACTCAGCAAGCCATTATTTAAAGGTGATAGCAGTCTAGTTGAGAGGTCCTCTGATGGAAGCTCCAGCGGTGTGCCATAGAAACCTGGAAGTTCGGGTGCTTCCAGGAGCCAGGACAGGCCCTAAAGTAATGCCACTGGCTCACACTGCAGGGAGAGTAGGAGGTGAGGGAGAGAGCCTGGAGCAGGGACACAGCACCACAGGGAGTTGAGTTCCTCAGCAGCTGTGGTGGGAGGGGAAGCGCCAGGAGGAGTCTAGGCAGGGAGTCTGGCAGAGCTGCAGAGGTTGGAACCCTGGGGTGGGGTGGCTGAGAACCACGGAGAGGCCTTGTGGTCAGATCTGCCATACAAAACTCACTCTGTGGGGCTCCTAAAGATGGAAGGGAGGGGAACAAGGCTGGAGGTAGCTATGTTCCAGAGCTGGAGAGCACAGGCGACCTGGGAAAGGGGGGGCAGGGAAGGATAATTGAGAATTGAAGCCTGAATTTCTGGCACCAGGCAGTTATGGAAGGAAACATGGAAGTTAGGTGTGAACAGAGATGAGCTTAACTCTGGGCATTCTGAGTTGGGGCCGGTGACACCTGGCAGAGGTGCCATCTTCTCAGCCTGGAGTGTGGAGAGGTGTGTGCTGATGTGCTGGAAACACAAGGGAGCTGTGATTTGTGCAGGTCAAGGTTGGAAGCATCAACAAGGACAAATGAGAACTTACATCGCCTTCACTGTAGCTGTCTTAAGCAATTGACCCAGGAGACATTTGGCCGGAGTCATGTGGCCAGGAATTCCTGGTTAGTTTCTAGCAAAGAACCTAGAAACTGATTTTCAGGGATTGTCACTAAAAAGGAAAAAAAGTCAACATGTGTTTGGAAGTCACCATTATGAGTGCTGAGTGGCAGGGGACACAAGCCAAAAGTTACAGGTGGGAGTGTAGGGCTTGCTGGGCAAGTTCCTGAATTGGGAGTCAAGGTCTTGATCAATGGCCAGAGGGCTACCACTTCCCTAGTCCTAAAATATCCCGGCAGGGTGACAGCTGGCAGAAGCAGCCAGGTTGCTTGGGGCTCCAAGAAGCCCAGTGATTTTTGTGTAGGCTGTAATTCCTTGGAAGTCAGGCGTCTTGTATAAGACACTAGTAACTAGTATTGCATTTGGAAATGGGCATGCTCCTGTGGTCTTCCTGGGTGGGGTCAGGCTTGGCACAAATTGAACTACTTTGAATGGTGGTGGCATTCACTTCGGTTTCCTTTGTCTTTGGCTTCTGCTGCTTTTCTCGGGATATTTCCTTTGCACCTGGCCCCTCTTTCACCCTCCCAGTACTGTATGACTGGTGTTTGTCAGCCTGCACAGGAGAGACTGGCAGTGAGAGAGCTACCCAGTGTTGTGTTTCATCCTTGGTCTGGGTAGGTATCTCGTCCATGGATCTTGGGAAAGACCCTGTCAGCAATCCTTTCTCATCTCTAGCACTAGGGATTTCCTAGTGATCTGGGACCAAGCTGACTTTCCTCCCATTGCCCAGAAGTTATAGACAAGACCTGGGTCCTGGGCCACATGTCACAAAAATATCCCAGGGGCATCTGTTAAAGTATTCAAGTTCTTGTGTCCCAAAACAAAGAATGGAACCAGGAACGCATGGTTGGAAATAAAAAGTGTATGCTCCAAAAGTGCTGGGCCATGGCCACACGAGCCCTTATAGGTCATTTGCATAGCACGGTCTCTCCCATACCTGTGTGTGGTGGAACTTTTCCTGAAAGTTCTATTGTGTGAAACCCAGGTGGGGAAGAGCCTCCATTCTTTCTGTCAACCAGCTGCCACACCCAGGGGTAATACTAGCTTTTGTTTTCCCATAAAGGTCCTGGGGTGTGTGGCCTTTACCCCCCACTTAAGGCAAGTTGTGTGGAGATGAGTCCAGGTCAGGTGTAACTAGTTTTCTATAAACATAAGCTAGAGTCATCAGAGAGAAGGGAACCTCAAGTGAGAGATTAAAAAATATCTCTATTTGGTTGGGCTATAAGCAAACCTGTAGGGTATTTTCTTAACTAGAAACACCCACGTTGGGCTGGTGGTCCTCAGTTCTATAATAAGAAAGCAGGCTGAGTGAGCGATGGGGAGCGAGCCAGTAAGCAGCACCCCTCCATGCCCTCTGCATCAACTCTGCTTCCAGGTTCCTGCCCCGTTTGAGTTCCTGTACTGACTTCCTTTGATATGAACTGTGATGTGGAAGTGTAAGCCAAATACACCCTCCCCCCCCCCAACTTGCTTTTGGACACAGTATTTCATAACAGCAATAGAAACCCTAACTTAAGACAATGGCCATGGCACCTTACTCAGAGTGTCGGCCCTGCTTGCCCACAAGCCTATCCTGTTCTATTATACTTTGGCAGAGCTTTTGTTTTTGAGACACAGTCTCACTGTGTAGACACAGCTGGCCTCCAGTTCACAGAGATCCTCCTGCCTCTACCTCTGCCTCCCAAGTGCTGGGATCACTAGGGTATTCATTTCTCCACACCCACCTCAGGTAGAATTTTACTATAATGAAATAGTTTGTTTATTAGTAGAATAGTTTATCTTAATATAAAATTATCTAAAACAATATGAGTGTGTTTATACTTATTATGTACAAGAAATTGTAATAGGGAACACATCCCTTTATGTAGGAGCTCTGTTGTGTTACCTTGTTTAAACACCCAAATTTCTGACACTCTAGTTTGGTGTAGGAGGGCTTTCTGTTGGGTCACCACTCCCCAATAATGGCAGGGAGTCATATTATTAATTATGAAAGCTTGACCTTAGCTTAGGCTTGTTCCTAACTAGCTCTTATAATTTAAATTAACCAGTTTTAATAATCTACATTCTGCTATGTGGCTTTTTTACCTCTCTTTCATTTTATATGTCTGGCTTTCTCTGTGGCTTGCTGGCATCTCCCTCATGTATCTAGACTGATCCTGAGTTCCTCTCTCGGCCAGGAAGTCCTGCCTAATTTCTCCTGCATAGCTATTGGCCATTCAGCTCTTTATTAAATCAATCTGCCTTTGGCAGAGACATAACTTTACAACATACAAAAAAAAATATCCTGCAACATTTCCCCTTTTTCTAATTAAAAGGAAAGGTTTTAATTCTAATACAGTAAAATTATATTCAATAAGAACAGTTTGGATTGGAGAGATGACTCAATGGTTAAGAGCACTGACTGCTCTTCCAGAGAACCTGGGTTCAATTCCAAGCAACCACATGTGGCTCACAACTGTTTGTAACTCCATTCTAGGGGACCCAACACTCTCACATAAACGTACATGTAGGGAAAACACCAATGCACATTAAAAAAAAAAAAAGAATGATTATTAGGCAAGAGTTACATTTACAATGTTCAGTCCATTTCTATTTGGCAAATGTGCAGAAATTACTCTATTATCTATCCTATCTTGATGAATCCAAAGTTTTAATACCTAAACCACTTTCTATCATACCTTATATTACCATCCTAAAAATATCTTTTTAGACCTTAAAACATTTTACAACTTAAATTTTTATGTCTCTCAATCTTACAAACTTTACATTGTAAGTTTCTTTTTTTGAATATGGTAACAAGGAAAACTGTAAAACTATAACTATCTCATCTTCAACCCTATCAGAGACCTGAGAAGGATATAATTTTATCTGAGTAAACAGCAGAGCAAACAACTTCCAAAACTGTAGAAACATCAGAGACATCTGGCTGTCTGGACAGTCACCCAAGGTTCCTCTGCAACACTGGGGCATCCATCTTTGGCCTAAAGGCCTAGGATATCCGACAGACTTTTCTGTGAAGCAGGAATTTTGAAGGGCTGGCCTCCTTGTCTTGGCAAAGTTTGGCAGTTGCCTTCCTTTGTGTCCTACTTGTCTGATTTGGACAGCACACTGCCAGCAGTTGAGGCAAGGGCAATTTCTTGCCCAGTAGCTAACTTGATCACAATGAAAGAAAATTGATGCTGCCAGTAGCAGACGAGTCTCACTATCATGAAAAGTCTCATGTTATTAAAAACATCTTAAATGTCATAGTCTGTGGATCTCTGAAGTATTTGAAGATCATCTATCTACCTAAAATATATCTCTCACCTTGTAAACATACCTAATGTGACAAAGTTTGATTGTTATAGATGACTACTAATCTCTATTTTTTTAGTTACTTTAAATAGTTGATAGTAATAGCTTTCAAGGACAAGAACTTTACATTTTTAAATGATCTTCATAGGTGCAATAGCTTAAGCAAAAGTAGAAACATATACAGTATGTTGTAACAAAAATAGCCTTAAATTTCTGTCACTTTACACATATCCATACCAGTGTAAAATATTTTCCATTCATTCCTATATTCCCCACCCCCATTTTCTTTTCAGAAAGAGGTCCCTGAATCCAGTATCATTTGTTTAGCTTTTTTTGTGACCATTACCAATAACAGCTTGTAACTAACCCCCCTAAATCATTATAAACATCCATAACCCACTGAAAGACCAAAACTTACCCACCCCATCTCTTGGGAATGTGGGCATAATATTCTCTAGACTGTTTCTTGTTGTCTTGGTGTGATGGTATCTTTAGGGCACCCTAAGAAAATTGGAATAATTGTCAAATCCTAGGAGAGCTAGCTTTATCATTTGTTGTCCAGTTTCTGTGTAATGGGAAAGTGCAGGGCTTATCTGAAGTCCTGGCGAGCCTAGTATGTGAGGCTGGACCATCTTGGTGAGCAGGGTTGAAGTTGTCCTGGATGTAGATTTGAGGAAACTGTGACAGAGGCATTCTGAGGGGGATGGATCACCTGGGCTACTTGTCTTCACTGGTGTCTGCTTTTTTGTTTTTGTTTCCTTCTGAAAACACACAAACTTTTAAAGATAACATACATATCTGCACTAACACAAGTATGAAATGTGCAGTATGCTAAATATGATTTTCTGTTTTATGTTTGAACAGGTTAAAGGTATCTGTCAACTTTATAAGTCCGTTTGGACTGCATAGCCAAATTGTAATATAAGTCTCCATCCATGCCATATAAAAAGGTGGAATGTAATGATAAGTCATGGGGTGTCATCCAGTCCCCACCCACTTTGGGTCCACCTAACCATCTCAGCTCTGGGAAGCTGCTGTGTCCACACAGCAGCACGCAGTTTCTCCTGCTGGTAGTGTGTCAGTCAAGTGCTCTGCTGCATAGCAGGGCCTGTTAAAAGAGCTGCACCTCTCTATGCTGCCAATACTGAGCTACTGGAGAGACAGACAGCAGATGCCTAGAAGCCACTTCTGACTCTGTGTTCAGATCTTTTTTTTTTTTTTTTTTTTCCCAGCTTTCTCAGGCCCTATGTGGATTTACATGCCTCACCTTGGGCTTCAAATGTAGGAGGTCTTTATGTCAGGCTGCCAGCTTCCCAATAATGACATGGAGACTTATTATTGATTTTGAAAGCTTGGCCTTAAACTTAGGCTTGTTCTTAATTAGCTGTTATAATTTAAATTAATCAGTTTTTATTAATCTACATTCTACCATGGGGCTTTTTGCCTCTGTTACATTTTGTATGTCCAACTTCCTCCATGTCTCACTGGCATCTCCTCTCACCTTGATTTGTCCTGAGTTCCTCTTTCTGCCTGTAAGTCCCGCCTAACCTCTCCTCCATAGCTATTGGCCATTCAGCTCTTTATTAAGCCAACCAGGTGCCTTAGGCGGAGACACACATCTTCACAATGTGCAAAAAGATTATCCCACAACTATTTGGAGTTTCAGTACTTTTTTGCATACCCGTGACAACACCAAGGAAGATGCATAGTTAACAAGAACAAGCATTTTTCTTATAAAAACGAATTTGTGTGTGTGCGTGAACATGTATGCATGTGTGCAGGTATGGGTTGAACTCAGGTCCTTTTATCCATGCAGCAAGCACTTTACTGACTACGCCATTTCCCCATCACTTATCTACAGTTTTTGGTTTTAAATCTTTTTCCTTAGCTACTTTCTTTTTCCTGTTTTTCTTTTGTTTGAGACAGAGTCTCACTACATAGCTCAGGCTGATCTCGATGTCAACATCCTTTTCTACTTCCCCAGTGGTGGAATTAAAGGCATGCATCAGCATACTCAGCTTTAAATAATATTTTTTAAATTAAGAATTGGCCATCAGCCAGAAGGGATGGCACATGGCTGTGATTCCTGGCACATGACAGGCAGATAAGCCCGTGCATTCCAGATGAGGCTGGGCAATACAGTGAGACACTGCCTCACAACACTGTGGACTGAGGTGTATCTCAGTGATAGAGGACTTGCCTAGTAGGTATAAGGTTGTGAGGTTTGAGCCCTAGCACTGCAAGAAAAATAATGGGTCTTGGTTTCATAAAGGGAGGAATCTGGGGAGGAGAACCCTTTAGCACTGTATTTAGCACTGGCTGGGTAATCAGCACTTACTTGGGCAGGGGGATTTTGATGACGGATCAGTTGGAGAAACAGATCTGGAATTGATTGCCTTAAAAGCTGCTGTGGGTTAGGGATGTGGCTCATCTGGTAGATCTCTTCCCTGGTATGTGTGAAGTGCCAGGTTCAATGTCTAGTACTACATAAAATAGTGTGTGGTAGTGCAACCCTGTGATTCAAAGATCTGTGAGTCCCTGGGGCTGGAGTGCAAGGTCATTGTTGGCTACAGAGTGAGTCAGCCTGAGATACATTAACACTTCTTTGAATGCAAGATCAAGAGCATGAAGTTGGAAGAAGAATTAAAAAAAGAAAAAAAGAAAGAAAGAGAAAGGACATGGGCATGACTGCTCCTAGGTGTGGTAGAGGAAGTTTATTGTAGATAAAAGGGAAATTGTAGCCAGAGACAGAGACATCTGGGAGAGCCCAGAGTGAACATGACCCTGAGTTGGATCATGTAAGGAGACAGGGGTGAGCCAGGAGACCAAGAGGCCAGGAGGGTAAAAGGTAGACAAAAATGGAAAAAGGGCTGGGTAACCAAACTGTCTGAATTATAAAGGGCAGGGCAACTGGGGGAAGGGCAGCCCAGCCCGTGGACTGGAGAGGTTTAGGGTAGAGGGCAGGGTATGCCAGCCAAAAGGATCCTGTAATCGTTGGGGACTGAGGGATGCTGGGAGAGCCTGGTGACAGGTCTACTCGCTGGGTAAATAGGCACCTCGAGTAGCCCATTGCCCTGGTTTGAGACCTAACAAAGGCCATGTGCTCTGTAAGCATCTCTCCATCCCAGGACCAGGCTTCTGAGTTTTAGGAAAGCTCTGGCATGAAGTAAAGAGCAGTGTCCCACTGCACAGGGAGATTGTGTCCTCCGAAACAAGAGTGGAAAGGTGGGGTGCACAGAGAGGTAACCCTTCTTATCAACTGTGAACTGCTGGGACCTTGTGGGAAGGCAAAGGCTTGCACATTCTTGAAAGGTTTATTATTATTACTATACAGTGGTGTGTGTGTGTGTGTGTGTGTGTGTGTGTGTGTGTCTGTCTGTCTGTCTGTCTGTGTGACTGTGTGTGGTGTGTGTAGGGTATGTATGTCTGTGTGGTGTGTGTGTGTGTGTGGTGTGTGTGTGTGTGTGGTGTGTGTGTGATATGTGTATGTGTCCCTGTATGTGTGTACACGCACATGGGTGTGGAGGTCAGAGTCTCTGGGGAATTGGTTCTGTCCTCCCACTATCCTGGGAATTGAATTTAGGTTGTCAGGCTCATCACTAAGCACATTTACCCACTAAACCATCTCCTCTGGTAGACTTTGACCATCCTTTGACAAACCCCCCAAAGGAAAAAAATTTTTTTTTCTTCTCTTCTGCTTAGATCGTCATGCTCAGGAATGACATTTACCGGTGCCGGGCGTCAGGCATCTTTCTTCGATTGGAGGGTGGAGGCTTGATTGCTGGCAACAACATTTACCACAACGCAGAGGCTGGTGTGGACATTCGGAAGAAATCCAACCCACTCATCCTGGTACTTTTCTCCATGATTTTGCCCTTCAGCCTGGGTCTCACTTTTTAGAAACTTTGTCTGAGGATGTTCCTCAGACATCCTGCCCATTTTTGTGTATTCTCATGACTGTCTTTCTGGATGTATTAGTGATGACTTTGGGTAAGTCACTTCCTGAAATCATCACACCAATAGGAAAGACAGGCTGGACAGGAAAATTTCTCAGAACCTCCTCAGAACTCATCTGTCTGGCTTTGAAGAGGTGTTGTCTGTGATGTGTGACTCTAAAAGCACAACCGATCTGCTCAGTGCATTCTTTGGAGAGAAGGATAGGGTACTTTACCCTCAGGGTGGCTTTGTAGAATGAGAGCATATAGAGTTTGGTTTTGTGGGTTGGTAGGAGGATACAGACAGGTTCTCTTGCAATTCAAGCTGGCCTCAAACTTAGCTGAAGTTGGCATGAACTCTTAATCCTCCTGCTTTTGCCTCCGAGCTCTGGGGATTATAAGCATGGTTTGCAGTTAGGGTTTTCCAGCATAAAAACTACATAAAACCCTTGATTATGGGGCTGGGGAGATGGCTCAATTGACAGCATGCTTACTCGGCAGGCATGAAGTCCTGAGTTCAGGTTTCTAGCATCTAGACAAAAACATAGGCATGGGGGCCTGGAAATATGGCTCAGTGGTTAAGACCTCTTATTGCTCTTCCAGAAGATGGGTTCAGTCCCTAACAGCCACATCAGGCAACCCACAACTTCTATAACTCCAGCTTCAAAGAATTGGATACACCTTCATGCATATGGCACACATACACACATGCACAAACTTAAAAGAAGAGACATGGTACTACACCCCTGTAATCCTCATTTTGGGGAGATGGAGACTGGAAGATCCCTGGGGTTTACTGGACATCAGGTCTAGTCCAGTTGGTAAGGTCCAGGTTACATGAGAGGCCACATCTCAAGGAAGAAGGTACAGAGTAATGGAAGACAACATTCAGCCTCAGTCTCTGTACATGCACATGTACACATTTATACATGTACACATGCACAAGCTCATGTGTATCATATATACAAAATCCTTGCTTATGTGACCAGTATATGTGACACTAGTTCCCTTTCTGTTCTGGCTTTTCCAGAGATTTCCAGAAACTGGAGAATTGTGAGTGTAGAAAGGTGGTAACAATTGTGAAATATGATGTGCATCTATGTACCAGATGCCTCTAAAGAAAGCTCTCTGTACGTGTTAGTCATCCCATGAAATAGAATGATTTTCTAGGTGAAGGCAAAGGGTGCAAGCGGCAGTGGGATTTGAGTCAGGCAGTCTAACTCAGGATCAATGCTCTTAGCTCTTCAAACCAAACTGGCCACGAATATTCAGAGAATGGAGTTCATAACTCTATTTAAAAAGACACACCCAACCAGTGACTCCTGCCCATCCCTCCCCTTCTTGGGGCCTCTGCTGTGCAGCTGGTGGGTGATGGATGCACTGCCTCCACACACGAAGTTCCTGACACTGTTGCCGGAAAGGCAAAAGGAGTGTGCTGGCTGTGGGGTGGGCTGCCTCAGCAGGCAGAGGGGGTCCTGGCTTAGTGAAGTGAGGCAGGGAGGTCCTGTTACATATACCTGCCCCTCTAAGCTTTTCAGTCTTCTGAGGGACATCTCAGGCAGGGACTGCCTGTGAGCTAGCCAACCCTTCAGAGACCTCACAGGTCTCTGAAGAGCAAGTTAAGGGAGCCTGTAGCCCTGTAACCTGCTGTGGTGGTTACCTCTTAGTGTACAAAGTCAAAACAAGGACAGCCAGGGCACGTGGGTAGAGAAAGGTTAGCTGAGCAGGTATGGAGTGAGTACGAGGCATTTCTAAGATGGCATCCTCCCTGAGCAAAGGAAGCTTGAGGACTTTATTCCAGGGACTTCATACACATTCATGTAGAAAAAACAAAACACCCTAGAGGTGGGCACACTCCCAGGCATGCTCCCCTAAGGGCATACTTTAGTTTAAGGTTGTAATTTAAGAAGAAAAGATGGTGGGCACACTTTGGACACACTTAGCTCATGGCTGTGGAGCACATGCTCAAAAGGTTAAAATGATGGACAGACACACCTAGACATGCTTAGATTTTGTCCCAGCCTTTGCTGAAGATAAAGGAAAGAGTACTCTGAAGGTGCATCAACATGGGACTTCCTGCCTTAATTGATGACTAATAACAAGATATGTTTTTAAGGCTGTTTGGTTTTTTTTGTTTGTTTGTTTTTTGGGGGTGTTTGTTTGTTTGTTGTTTTTGGTCTGGTTGGTTTGGGTTTTAGTTTTGTTTTGTTTTTTAAACAGGGGCATATTAATCAACTCAAACTAGCCTTGGACTGAGATCCTCCTGCCTCAGGGCTGGGATTACTGCTGTGCCCAAGCTGGGCAACCTGGATTGTTCAGAAGAGTTTGTAACCTCATCACTGGGGAGGCAGAAATAGGCAGATCCCTGGGGCTCACTAGCCAGATAGCCAGCCTAGCCTACTTGTAGAGTTTCAGTCCAATGAGAGATCAAAAAAACAGGATGGGTAGCTACTGATGCTTGATACCCAAGGTTGACCTCTAGCATCCCCACTCACTCTCACACACGTACACATAGACATATGCACACACATATACTTCCACACACATAATTAGAATGAGAAAATTTTACCAAAATTTTGTGATCTCAAATTATTAAGTCTCTACCCTAAGAGACAGGAAAACTAGGGTTCAGATCAGCTCTGTCACAGACATTTTGTACCGGCTCGTGCCTGTTCCCCATTTGTACAAAGAGGAGCAGAAGTGAGTCTCCTCAGCATCCTCCACTGACAGACCTCCTCTGGTCTTTCTCCTTGAGGCAGGGAGCCCCTCAGTCCTGCATCCTCCCACAGGCCTCCCTTGAAAGAGGACCAGAAGGTGAGTGGTCCCTGTGCCTCTGTGGGGGTAGTCTCCACAGGATTGCCATGGGCCACACTCTCTTGTACTGAATTGATGCCCTTCCCTGAGGGGTGGACACATGTTCAGGCTGGTGTGGTCTGGCTGGATGATTTTGTATTGGGAGTGGGGAGCTCTGAAGAGCCTCAGATACTTTCCATAGCCTCCTGCCTTAGGGGAAAAAAAGCACAGAACCCCCCAACAGCAAAGACCACATAGCCATGTTCTAAGACTGCAGGGAGCACTCATTCATCTTCACGCCCTGCCTACTGTTTGCATGCACACACCTGTGCAAAGGAGGCAGCCACGTAGCTTAGTCCCTTTGCTGTGTGCTAGGGAGCTTCTGACAATGCTCTTGTCATGGTTGTGTCCATCTTGGAGCAGCTGTGAGGTGCTACTCAAGCACTCTCTGCACTCTGACATGTTGAATCTGCCTGCCACGTCTCACTTTCACTTGCAGTGTAACCAGATCCACCATGGTCTTCGATCTGGCATTGTTGTCCTTGGCAATGGGAAAGGCGTCATCAGGAACAACCAAATCTTTTCAAATAAGGAGGCTGGCATTTATATCCTATACCACGGAAATCCAATTGTGAGGTAGGCACTGCTCTGCCCAGACTATCTGGCCCTTCCATTTGAAAGCCTGTTTGTTTACGACAGCTGTGATGTGAAATATGAGTCTCCATCCATAATCCCCCCGGCAACACAGCTGCCCTGGTGCTTCTGCCTTCCCTTCCAGCTAGCTGTGTGCAGGCATTCTGTTTGGCAGACACTACGGTGCACTTCTCACAGAGATAACAAAGGCAGACACACGCCAACTGCTCCTTGGGAGCTGACTCTATACAGAATGAGTAATGGCACTTGCCAGTGAGCCTGACAAACTGAATTTGACCCCAGGGACTCACGTGGTAGAAAGAGAGAACCAACTATGGCAGGTTGTTCTCTGAACTCTGTAGGTGTGCTGTGTGTAGCCACACAATGAATGAATGAATGAATGAATGAATGAATGAATGAATGAATATGTAAAAGAAGACAACCCTGGCCTCCACATGATGCGTACCATGGCCTTTATGTGCTGTAGGTCATCAGTTGAAAGGGAAGGGCAGTATTGTGTGTCTGCCATCCTAGCGGTAGCGTGGGGCTGTCAAGAGGAACGTGTAGGGAAGGCCTTACCCTGGAAGTGCCTTTCGAGTTGATGTCAGTGGCTGGTGGCTCATGGAAGAAAACTTAACCAGCATGCACCAGGCCCTAGGAGGCTCAGTCTTCCACACTAAAAAAGAAGAGGAGGAAGAAGAGGAAATATCTGAGTTTTTAAATCTGGGTCGGACTTGAACTCTCCTGAAGCTGTAGCAGCCATTCCTAGGAACACAAACAGCAAGGTGGGCGGGCGGTGACAGAGCAGCACAGGGCCAGGGGCCCTCTGCAAGAGCAGTAAGCGCTCAGCCACCTCTCCTGTCCCAATTGATGTTTTAAAATTGAGGCTGTGCCAGTGAATCGGTGTCCTGCCGGCACTGGAGCATGACCTCTGTCCCCAGGGGTATGTATGCCTTCTGTGTCCGCCATGCAGCATGAGAGTGGGAAGGCGTGGCAGAAAGCCCTGTGCTGATGGAGACGGGGGGTAGGGGTGGGGGTGGGGGGTGAACTAAGCTTTTGAGCAGAAGCCTCAGTCTTGTCGGGGCTGAGGGAAAGCTGGTGTCAGTCAGTACACAGCACACAGCAGATGTGCTCTGCGGTGCATCTGCTTTACCTCGCCCTTTTCCATATGAGTTTGTCTAAATGTTGTTGCATAGGTAGGTACCTATGTCACTTGGGGAAATTCCAGGGCATAGCCATATCATTGTTCTCCATGTCTTACCTAGTCCTGCTTTTAGGCAGGTAGTAAGTATCCCATTGCTGAAGACAGTTTACATAAACATTTGCTTGTGCTGGGGAACCATTAAAGAGTCTCAAATGAAGATTCACAAGTCAGTGTTGCTGTATTTTTTTTTTTTTAACACAGTCATCCTGAGAGGATAGACTGTGCTTGGGAGGGGATATAGCAAGAGTCTGAGATCGAGGTACCAAAGCACCAAGAACTGTAATGCTCTGAACCTTCTAAGAAAGCTTGGTAGAGCATCCTAGGAATTCTTCATGCTGCCAAGACTTGCCCTGTGACACATGCACTGTGGTGAAATCTGTGAAAATGGTTTGTGTGTTGACTGATGCAGTGCAGAAAAGCCATAAAGAGTTGGCTATCATTGTGCTTAAGTCCAGAGTTGTGATAGTTTTGGGTCAAGCTATCCCAGGGCAGAAAAGGATTTCCAAATGCTTAGGTGGCTGTCCCCTGTGAACATGGGCCATTGGGAAGACTACTAAGGAAGGCAATGGACCGGTGTGATGGATCTATGGGTAAAAGCATTTACTATGTAAGCATGACCTGAACTTGATCCCATGGTGGGAGGACAGAACCAACTCCCAAAAGTTGTGCTCTGACCTCCATATGCTTGCTGTAGCACTTGTGCAAGGTGCACGCACGAGTGCACACACATGCACGCGCACACTTGAACAAGTAAGTTTTGAATGTTTTAAAGAAAGGCACCTTGAAGCGTGACAGAGGTGCCCTGGTCTCACATCCTTCCCTGTCTCCTATTCTAGCGGAAACCACATCTTCAAGGGGCGTGCAGCAGGCATCGCAGTGAACGAGAATGGCAAGGGCCTCATCACAGGTACATGAGAGGAGCTGCTATAGCTGCAGCCAGCCAGTGCAGGTGGCAGCCAAGCCCCCACCCCCTGGCATCACCCCACAGCTTCAGGCCCTCACACCTCACCTTTGCTAACCGCAGACCCCTTTCTGTGATTAGCAGGTGGGCGTTCTGTGGGCATTCATAGGAGGTCCCCTCATAGCACAGAGGGGGTACCATCTGTGCCAGCTGCTGGACAGGTGTCTGAGTTCCCCATACTTTGTGTGAGCTTCTGCCTGCTCTGCAAATCTGTCTGCCCAACGCTTACATGTCTGTTATGTCTCAACTCATGCCACTTCGTGTGGGAACCTGCTCTATCTCCCCTCATCCATAGATAATGCCCACTGTGCCCAGGACGCCTCCTCTGCTGAACATTTTACAGACCTTATTAGTACTCTGTTTTGTCTGTCTCCTCTGGGTCCAGGCAAGGATCACATCTGCCTGGTATGCCATTGGAACCTGAGATTTTTTTTTCCTTGGTTTTTTTTTTTTTTTTTTTTTTTTTTTTGAGACAGGCTTTCTCTGTGTGGTCTTCGCTATCCTGGAACTCACTTTGTAGACCAGTCTGGCTTCAAATGCAGAGAGTTACTCTGCCTGCCTCTGGGATTTGAGGCATGTACTACCACTGCCCGGCATGGAGCCTGGGATCTTGACCGCATGTGACCATCATTTCCCAAATACTCATAACTCAGTTATAGACCACTTGTCTAGCATGTGTGTGGCCTTAGATTAGATCCTAACATTGAGAAAAGGGGGGAAACAAACAAACAAACAAAACCACTTGCTGAGCACCGGCTATGAGCAGCCCTTGTCTCAGGAGCTGGATATGGAGTGAAAAAGGAAACAGCGGCTCTGCTCTCAGGAATTGACAGTTTGGAGGAGAAAGCATACAAATATGTAAAAGCCTATGTAGACAAGACTACCCAACTGAGAGTGATACAGCCATTTGCATAAGGTGATAGAAAGACTGTGTGAGCACTTGAAAGCATATGGTCCTGATAGACTTCTCTTCAAGGATGACACGTAATTCACAACCTGAGCGGTAGGAATCCCGTGAAATAGCTTTGTGCAGGGCCCCCTGTGGAAACAGACTTCCACACCTAAGCAGGACTGCTTGTAGGATGGAGCACGAGCAAAGGGCGAAAGGTATGACACAGGGCCGCAGAGGCAGAAAGGGCCCATCACTTACCACAGCCAGGCAGTGATGGCACACACCTTTAATCCCAGCACTCAGGAGGCAGAGGCAGGTGGGTCTCTGTGAGTCCAAGGCCAGCCTGGTCTATAGAACAAGTTCCCAGACAGCCCAGGCTACACAGAGGAAAAACTGTCTTCAAAAAACAAGAAAGAAAAAAAAAGAAAGAAAGAAAAAAAAAAGGTGGGGGGGGACCCCAGTCCCTGGAACCAAGTCTGCCTTGTCTCTGCTGAGGCAGCATGTCCAGCACTAACCCTTCTGATGTGAGGCTCTTCCACCAAGTCCTCAGAGAGGAGGGGTGGGGCAGGGCGGGGAATGCAGGCCTAGGCCGAGGACAAGCATATGGGATGGGGGAGTTCTTCCTCCTCAGTCTCAAGGCTGCTGGGTGGCGTGGGTATGGAGACACAGGAGTATACAAGACAAACACAGCCTTAGACCTTGGAAGAGTGGAAGAGTCCCTGAAACAGTCCTGGGTAAGCTGAGCGCTGGCAGAACAGATGTGGGTACAGATGTGGGTGTCCTGCTGTGGGTGAAGGCTGGGGAGTGCTTTCTTTTAGCTGTCCTTGTCATCATGGCCTGCACTGAAGGTGGCTCTTGGTACTGATCTGTCCACATCTCCCCATAGAAAATGTCATCCGTGAAAATCAATGGGGAGGGGTAGACATCCGCCGTGGTGGCGTCCCGGTCCTCAGGAGCAACCTCATCTGCTTTGGCTACTCAGATGGTGTGGTCGTGGGTGATGAAGGCAAAGGACTGATAGAGGGAAACACCATCTATGGTGAGGAGCATGTTCCCGGGCAATGGTCTGCAGTCCGCCCACCTGAGAGACAGAAAGCCCAGGTTTCGGCTCCAACTAGTGGCTTCTGAGAAGGCTGTCAATTCTGCCAGGCCTCAGACACCTCCCTTGTAGAACAGATGTACATGGTCTTGGGCCTCTTAGCAGGAGGGGCTCCTTTTACATCTTCTGACCCACTTTGAGCCCAGAGGTCAGCAAGCAGTGTTTTAGCCCCATGTGAGACAGTAAAAGGTGTGGTGTTATCTGCTATAGAGGCCCGTGTGAGCTCCAACTCTTGGGCATGGAACTCCTCCCATCTCTTTGGCGCAAACAATGGAAAATTTAACAGAAAAACAGGGTCACTATAAAAAAATACTGTTCTCACCATGTGACATTGAGCAAATAATATCTGTAGCTGGTGTTACTCGAGCCCAGCTGTGTGCATTGTCACAGTTATCAACCCCAACTTACAGATGAAGTCAGAGGCACAGGAGTTCGGTAGCTCACTCAGGGTCCCAACCAGGGAATGGTAGGGCTGGGGCTCACACTGAGCCTACTACCTTGCAGAGGCCTTGGTGACCTCTTTGCACTGCCCCTTGGGACTTGGCAGCTCTCAGAGCACTTCGCACCCTAAGGAATGGTCCTAGATAGTGAGGTGAATTGGTCATTGTCCCTTGTATATGAAGGAGAAGGCCATAGGCAGGACTATACGGTGACTTGTCTCAGTACCTTTAGTTTCCCCCTTTCGGGTAAAACTGGGTGCTGCTCCGCCCATCCTCGAGTGTCAGTGACAGGCTCTTTTTCACTGTCCCAGCTAACAAAGGCTGTGGTGTGTGGATGATGTCCTCCAGCCTGCCCCATGTCACCAGCAACCATGTGAGCTACAATGGCCTGTATGGAGTGGCAGTGTTCAGCCAGAAAGATGGCTCTGGCGAGTTCCCTGGAGGTCATGGGGCCCAAGAGAACTTCAGTGAGGATGGAGATGCCATCCTCTGGGAGACAGAGCTGGAGAAGGAGGATGACCCACTGCGCCGCCCTGTCACTGTAGCTCTTGTGGAGTCTAACAGTATCAATCACAATGGAGGTGAGTGTACCCCACCCCTGTGGTTCCCTTCCATGGCTCCCACTGCCCTGGGCTCTCTGTCCTACATTCAGTAACTGCATAATGAATAGCTCAGCCCCTGGCCTTTCCCCAAGCTCAAATCCATTTCTTCTGACCGCTGCCTCACTGACTTCACTACTGTGTTGCTTTTGCCTGAAATTCCCACACCGACAAAGACTTCCTAATCGCACACACCCCCTATCCTTTCTTCCTTAAATCTGTGCCCTAACCCAGACCCAGTGGCAGGGGATCATAAAGGCCTTAGTTGGCTTCGTTTCTGAATAGTTTTTAGATTTATTTATGGTATTTTACGTGTATGAGTGTTTTATCTGCATGTGTATCTGTATACCTCATTCATGCCCAATGCTCATGGAGGTCAGAAGAGGGCATTGGATCCCTCTGGAACTGGGGTTTCAGATGGTTGTGAGCCACCATGTGGGTGCTGGGACCTGAACCTGGGTCATCTATAAGAGCCGCAAGTGCTTTTGACCACTGAGCCATCTATCTCTTCAGCCCCATCCAATGGCACGTTTTGTGAGGTAAGACTCTCAAGTGCTGATGGAGTAAAAGAATAGATTCGTGGGCCCTGGAAGCCTCTTTCCTCTGGAGTGACTTCAAGCAGTGAGATCAGTAACAGCCCCAGGGGAAGGAGTTCTGCCAGCGCAACCCCAGTAGTGGACTCCTTTCATGAAGCTCTGCTACCTGGTAGCCCAGGCTAAGCCATGTCAGGTGACTCTTCCAAGCTAGGGAAAACAGCCCGGGTGCTACCAAAGAGGCTGGCTCCGACTGCTCTTGAGCCAGCCTGGGGCCTTGTCTTCTACCCTGCCCTCTCCTGGTGCCGTCCCAGGCCCCCTACTCCTACTGCAACCCTGTGGGAGACCTGGGGTGGGGAACTGGGCCAGAGGACTGTTGAATCTCAGGAGTCTTCTTACAGCCTGTGTCCCTGGCCACCTTAGCAGGGACTCCATGCCTCTTCCCTACCATCCTATTCCTCCTGACTGGCGTTGCCAGGGTTGACCCTGGGATCACCCCTGCTCTTCCCACTCCCACACTCTGTAGCATCAGGACTCTTTGTCCAGAGCAGTGAGGCCCTGCAGGTCATCACCAATGTGATCCATGCCAATGGGGACAGAGGCATCACCATTGTTCAGAGCAGCCAGCTCACGCGGGTGGCCAACAACAGCATCTCCTGCAACCGGCAGAGCGGGGTCAAGGTTGAAGCCCAGTGCAAGGTGGAGCTCCGGGGCAACGGGATCTATGACAATAGAGGCCACGGCATCATTACCAAAGGCGACAGTACTTCTGTTGTGGAAAATGACATCATTGGCAACCGGGGCAGCGGACTGCAGTTGCTGCCCAGGTCTGACACTAAGGTAAGTGAACTATGCAAGGTGCCAGCGAGGCTCAGGCCTGGCCTGCACACTTTGCTGAGAAAAAGAACCCTTAGCACTCAGCTGTAAGGAAAAATGCTGTGCACAGAGGTTGAGTTTCACAGAGAGGGAGCTCCACAGAGGGGGAGCATACGAACTGGGCTCCAGAGGATGGACAGGAGAGTCATGGTGCTGGGAGCCTTCTAACTATCTTCTTGGTCTCTATGTCAAAGTCCCGCCTATCTCAGCTCTTTGGCTGACAGAATAAGCTTGCACTGGACCTTTGTTGTCGTGCAGGGGGTACTTGCCAGGAGAGAGCCTGAGGGCCTTCGCACATGCTGTGGTCTGTGTGGGGAGTCCTCTTAGCCATTCATACACCTGACTGCCACATTTTAAAGACTTGCTGAGTTGCCCGGGCTATTTGATATGTTCTCTCTTGGACTTTGGGGGCACCTTGACTGGCCTGGCACATGACACTGAGCTCTGAGCACCTTTTAGGGAAAGCACTGCATGGTGCTATGGCTTCATGGTACAACCAAACAGATAAGCCAGTGCCCTGTGGATTATCCAGAGGTTCTCAGCTCTGTAGCTTCACAAATCAGCAATGTGGGCAAGATGTAAATAACTAGACTCTTCTGAAGCCTTAGTAACAGGAGCGAGAGAGGCACACTGCAGGCTCAGTCAGGCTGCAAGTAGGCATGGCTTCTGGGACAGTGCCCTTCTCTGGTAGGCCTTTACATACTGTCCCTTCTTCTGGGAAGAACTGTCCCCAGCTCGGCCCTCCTACAGCCCATCCATCAGCTCTAGGACACAGGGGCTCCACCAGGCTGCCCTCTGTGTCCCACCCAGAGCTGCTCCTGCTCCATGCTGACCTCTCCAACACACTTAGACTCCATGGTTTTATAAGTCTCTCAGCTTCTACCAGTCCGTGAGTTTCTGTGACAAGCCCTGGCCGCTTCTCCCAGGTACTAAAGAACCGGATCCACTCCTTCCGTGCATATGGCATTGCCGTGCGGGGCCGCGCTAAGGCCCTGGTACAGGAGAACATCATCTTCCAGGGCAAGACCAACAAGACCATCTTCCAGCAGGTCACTAACAACCGAGAGTGCATCATGCAAAACAACAAGTTCCTGGTCTTCAAGAAGAAGTAAGTGGGCCATGGAGATGGCACCTGTTAAAACGCTTGCTGTGTGAGCGTGGGGACCTGAGTTTGGATCCCAGCACCCACTCAGATGCTGGTTATGTTATCTTGACCCTGCTCCTTCATTTAGCAGAGTGTGGTGTAGTTGGCCTGGTGCATTGCTCGTGAATAGCCTGCTCTCTCCTCTCTCCTTTTAGGTTAGCACACAAAGGAGAGGGTTTTACTATGGTGTTTGCACAGTGTGTCTGTCATTAATACAGTATTCTCCCTTATTATTCCTGCACTCCTTTTCTGGCCATCCTTGTTTTCCTAAAATAGTCCCCCATTCCTTTTTTTTTTTTTTTTTTTTTTTTTTTTTCCTGTTCTGGATAATTTATATAGTCACCTTACCCTCTAAGATAAGAAATACAAACCAAACTCTGGCATATGGAGATTAGCTATCATAGTCTCTTTTCTACTTTTATGATACCATCCCCCATGCATTTAGGCACTTAGAAATCCGAATCTAGATTCTGCACAAAATGCCATATTTTTCTGAGCTGATTTCTTGCACATAATGTAATTATCTCCAGTTCCATCCATTTTGTGCAAATGTCATAGTTTCTGTCGTCTATTGGTGGGTGTCTCAGCCGGTTTTCTTGCTGGCTAGTATCCATAGTGCAGCGGTGAACATGGGTGTGTGAGTGTCCCTGTGGTGGTTCTACCATTATTAGTTGTTGGCTTTTTGTTTGTTTGTTTGGTTTTGTTTTTTCCAGACAGGGTTTCTCTGTGTAGTCCTGGCTGCCCTGGAACTCAGTTTGTAGACCAGGCTGGCCTTGAACTCACAGAGATCCGTCTGCCCTTGCCTCCCAAGTGCTGGGAATAAAGGTGTGAGCCACCACCCCCTGGCCATTGTTGTTTTTATGTGTATACGTGAGTGCCACAGGTACTGCATGAATGTCTGGTGTCTGCAGAGACCAGAAGAACGTTGGATCCCCTGGATGTCATTCTGTTTTTTTGAGGGTCTCTGTATAGCCCTGGCTGTCCTGGAACCCTGTAAGCCAGGTTAGCTAGAGATCTGGGATAAAAAGTGTGTGCCGCCCTGTCTTCCTGCGTTCGTTCCTTTCATTGTCTAGTGGTTTCTATGTACTGATGCAGCAGCTTGTTTGCCTGCTCACCTGAAGGGCCTTTGGTAGTTTCTAGTTTTTGGTAATGATAAATAGGCTTTTATACCATTCGTACCCACAAAGCTGCTGCTGGTGGGGGGGGGGGGGAGAGCTAAAATCCACTGATTCACATCCAGATCCAGGAAGATGGGGAAGTTAAGGGTCACAGAGGAATGTGACCAAGGTTCCATGCAGAAATGCAGCAGAGAGCTGTCCCTTAGTTTCTCACTCCACCTCGCTGGGCAGTCACTGGCTTAGAGTTTAAACTCTGAGATCCAGAGAACTGAAGCCAGTGGTGAGTCACAGGCGTTCGCTGGTTCTCTCGGCCTCGGGGTTCACTGGCTGTCATTCTGCATCTCCAGGTCTGACACTTGGCGCCTGGTGAATCCACCAGCACGACCTCACCTTGAAAACTCACTCAGGGGCTCCTCTGCAGCCCACAGTGGGCACAAGGTGACAGCCATGGCAACCAGGATCACAGCCCGTGTGGAAGGTGGTTACCACAGCAACCGCAGCATCTTTTGTACCATCCTGTGAGCAAGAAGACCTGCCTCTGGTCCAGGCCCCAGCGGGTGCTCAGGAGAGCGAGAGGCTAAGCCTTGGGATGGAAGTTATCCCAGGAGGACTCCCAGCCCCAGCCCCATCCTACACACCACCACTCCTGAAGAGGGCTGTAGGCTTCCTGGGGACTAAGATCAAGGTACCTCTAAAACCCTTTAGCTCCACAGCCTTCAGCAGGAAGGACCTTGGAATCATTGTCCTAGGAGAAAAAGGCATGTTTTTAGTCGCTTTAGCACTTAGAGGTTATGGAGAGCTGGGAAAGCTCAAACAGCACGTGCAGTTTGTAGGTCGATTTTCCCGAGCTACAGAGAGCCTTGCTCTATCTACACAGACCAAACCTAGCCACCTCTCAGGGAAGAGTACTTCTGATCAAGGGAAGTAAATGAGGTGAGGTGGAGACAGCTGCCCCTTTCTTGGACCTGCCCTTCTCAGTCCCTCCGGGGACTATAACAGCCTCCCAGCTGCCTCTGGGGGCTGCAGTGTTTTTACTACAGACAGTTCTTAGACTGGCACATGGCCCTGTGAGCAAGGAACAGGCTTGGAGCAAGGAGTTCCTTCTGAAAAGCTGCCCCAGGAATGATAAGGGGACGTGCTATAAATAAGGGGACAGGTGGCTGCCTTCAGGAGTGCAGGCAGTTGCTGGGCTGGGCTGTGTGGGAATGAACAAAGCTCTGCCCTCCTCAAGGAGTCCCCAGGTTCCACGCATTAGCTCAGTGCCTGCCACAGGATTCAGATTGTGTGGACACACATTCCAGCTGCCCCTGCAAGCTCCAGCCTGTCTGATGGAGGTGTCCTCCGACGTGTCCATATCCTCACGGATGATGATCAGCCGCCTTGACCAGCCCTGCCGTATTCCCCACTCTGTGCCTTGGCTTGCGAGTCTTCTTCCTGGCATGCCCTTCCCAGCTGTGTCCTTATGTGCAGACCTCACCTTTTACTCGAGGGTTAGCTCAGACACTGCCGTCTTGCTCCATGTGATAGTTACCCCCACCCAAGCCTCACCCCTGCTCCCTCAGGGCACTGAGCACTTTCTGCCTTGCTTTGGAATTCTCTGGGTCCATGCCCCGCCCTGACCTGTGAACTCTGTGTCCTTCAGTCCCAGCCCAGAGCCAGAGTTGAGTTAGTGGCCTAAGTGATGAGAAGGCCAGCTCCCAAAGGGTGTCACTAGACTGTACTGTGAACGTGGCGAGCTTTGAGAGCCAGGTAGGCTTGGACCCCACTGTGGAAGGGGACTGCATGCAGGGCCAGCTCTGCCTTGGTGACCCCTTTCCCACCTGGCCTTTACTGCAGGGCCCTCACCAGCCTTTGGGGCCACTGTCCTACACTGGCCCAGATCCCACGCTGGTTCTGTGGAGCCTAGGTGCTGCTCTGTTGGGTGGGTGGGAGGGAGAGCTCTGACTTCTCCCTAAGCACCGTGGGGACAAGAACACTGGCCTTTCCCATCTGCAGTACTGTCCATTGCACTTGTTTGGTGGCCCCAATGTGAGTCGCTGGATAAAAGGCTGCCTTCGTTATTTTGTAAGAAATGACTTTTCTGTGAACCAAGTACTTACCAAAATCTCAATAACCAAAATAAAGTTCTATATATTTTAAAGGAGGCGCTTCGGGGGTCTTAACTGAGTCCGCACATTTGCTGGAGTTTCCAGTGACCAGCAGGCCTCCCCACACGTGCCACAGGCTCCACTGAGACTGCAGAACTTGGGACTCTTGTTATAGCAGCTTGTTCCCAGCACGGCTCAGTTCCAAGCTGTATTCCAGAGCCTCCATATCATTCAAAAGTTGTAACTCCAGCCCTGCACAGGGGCCTTTCTGAAGACAAACGGTGACACTGCCTCCATGTGGGTCACCTGGTTAGCAAAGGGTCTTCAGAGGAAGTTGTGGCTATCACTTCCTGATTTGGCTCTGCTGTATTGTAGTAGGCTGTAAATTTAGATCCCACTGCCAACCTCAGAAGAGCTGGGAGCCTCCTGAGCCCTGCTTTGCTTGGTCGTCCCCCAGCTACTGCAGGCCTTCTAGGTCCTCTTCATAAGCCTTCATCCTTTCTTTAAGCTCAGACTTCAGCCTCATGTGATCCTTTGACCCAAACTTCCCCAGACCCTCCCAAACCCTGCACAGGACCCAGCAGGAGAAACACCTGCCGTTTCTAACCACAGCAACACCAAAGGAAGGAGATGAAGTCAAACAGGGCCACTGCTTTAATTTCTGCATGAGGCACAACAAGCCTGACCACCATGTTAAAGTAAGGCCTGGGACGGGGTGGGGCGGGGCGTGGGGAGCACAGCAGTCCCAGGCTGGCCCAGGATCCACAGTCCCCTGCCTCAGTCTCCTGAGTACTTGAGTTATAGGTAACCAAACATCCAGTCTGCCTCCCTTTTCAAAAAGTACAAGTGGGAGTGCACAGGAGTGGCTGTGATTCTGGAAAACATCTAGGTCATCTTCTTCCGCTTAGACTGTCGATCTGAGGTCTGGGCCGGAGGCAGGGGGACACACAGAGTGCCCAGTCTGTGATCCTCTTCCCTGCCGTCTGCCAGGGTCACCTTTCTTTTGGAGATCTTCAGCCTCATGGCTTTTGCTATCTCAATCATCCTAAGGAACAAACAGCACAGATGGAGAGTAGCCCTGGGTGTGCGGTGTAGGTCTTACAGGCAGGCGCAAAGAGCATGTTGTTCTCCGGAGACCGTGAAGCGAGGGTCTCTGCTCCCACCCTCCCTCCACCCCTAGATCCACCACGGAGGCCCCGCCCTAGTCACAGCAATTCAAAGCACACAGGATTATTCAGAACAGAAAGCCGTGGGAGGCTCGGTCCTGATGCCCAGGCACACTTTTTGGGAGTGAGAGCTTGAGAAAGTCATTACTTCTCCAGATCTTAGATGCTTGTTATTTTTTTTTTTTAGAAATCAATGAGGGATTGTGAATGAGTTCAGTGTCACACCTTGCAAAGAAAAGGCACACAGCAATCAACCAGGTTTCTCACCAGTCAACCATTCATTCATTGGAAATTATCTTCTGGTCACAACATTATTCTACGAGACACTGAATGCCTCATGCTCTGGACAGGAGTAGGAATCCACCTAGGCAGTTGCAGGGCCCAGCATTACACTACTGTGCTCACCTTTTCTCACTGAGTTTCAAGTCTCCCTGCAACAGCGTCAGGTCGATCTGGAAGTTATTTATGTGCAAGGCAAGTATGATCGCATACGCAGTGATCTTGGCCTTCATAGAATTTGAAATTACGTTCCGTAGACTGCAGAGTCAGTGTCAATAAAGGAGAAATGAAGTTATATTCCAGGTGCTAAATAAGAACACCAGCGCCTTATCCTCTGTAGTCATATTCCCAGTTTGCGGAGCAGGGAGCATCAAGCTGCACAACCTGTTCCTTCCAAGCTGCCCAAGTCACAGTGAACAGTGAGTCAACCCACATTTCCCCTAAGAGACAGAGAAAGCCCTGCCCACACTTTCCCTAGGTGGTGTGGTAGCACTGTACTCATGAAGGATGAGTCTGTTACTGTCTGCTCAGAGGCCTGCAGGAAACACAACCCCAAACTCGGCGCTGTCCCTGTTGTTTCCAACGGCAGTCGGGCAGGAAGCACAGCCCCGTCAAACACTGCAAGCAGGCCAGGATGGGCTGGCTGCACTTTTCTATAGCACTATAGTCATCAGGAAGCGCTTCACCACAGCCAAACACAAATGAACACTTCCAAGGGGGACGGTGTATGATGTATATGTGCTGTCCCCGGAAGCCCACCAAATGGCGGTGAGCTATTTGGCACTGGATCTCTGGACATGGAACTGTACCCGAGCCCCCACCCTTCCCTGCCACACCCGCTAGTTCTTCGTAGAACTAGCCCCCTGACCTGCCATTGTTGTAAGTCAAGCAGGTGAAATGCTTCAGCAGCTTGCTGTTGATGATATGGGGGATTCCAGGTCCTAGGGCACCTACAACACACAAACGTTGCATTGAGTCATCTTTCTGGAAAGTCCATAGGCCTTTGGGGCTGTAATGGCCAGACCCAAAGCAGCTGCTTTGAGGTGTTTTGTGAAGCGGGCATGAAAAGATAGAAAAACACCAGACTGATGAGGACTAAGAACAGACGATAAGATACTGGGAAATAAAACAGATTGCAGTTGGAGCCAGTGAGATTTTCAGTGGGTAAAGATGTGCCCCAACTTCCATCCTCCAGATTCACATGGATATATAGAAAGCACTGATTCCAAAATTACCGCCTAACCCTAGATACGCTAGGTATACACCCCACACAGCTAAGTAAATCGAGGGTGGAAGGCGAGAGACTGGAATATGAAACCTGAGCTAAGCAGGAAGGCACACATCCATCCTTGGTGCCTTTCACAGTAGCAGACACATCTTGTGCTGAAAGTACATTGTCTCCTGCTGGCTTCCAACTTGGGGTGGGTCTGAATGTGTGACCACCACATACGGTTCTAGAAACAAGTGGAACTGGAATTTTAAACATTATAAACTGACTCTCTTAGTGTGAAATAAACTGTCACAACTGTCCTCCTCCCCTCCCCTCCCCGAAAAAAAGAAGAAAGAAAATGCCAAGCATAGTGGTGCACACCTCCCACATGCTAGCACTCAGGAGGCAGGGGCAACTGAATCTCTTTGAGTCCCAGGCTAGTCTGAACTGTACAGTGAGTTCCAGGCCAACCACAGCTGCATAGTGAGACTGCCTTAAAAAAAAAACAAAACAACTGCCCCAAGCTTCCTCACAGGCAAGCCCTGACTTCTCCTCCTCCTGTAACTGACGTCTGTTCTAACAGCCTCCCTTAAATTATTCATCTCATTTGACCTGGACACTGTGTTTTACCTAATAAAACAGAAGCAGTGAGTGTGCTCCTTGAAAGCCCCATCCAACCCTGTCCCCATTTCCAGAACAGATGAAAGAAATACTAAAGAGAGGAACCCTGCAAGGCTCAGGCAGGCGGCGGGACCAGGAGGGAGGGCAGGCTACACGGAGAGGGCCTGGACACACATCCATGGAGGCAATGTGAGAGCCACAGACAAGTAACCACTGGAAATAAGTAGGACAAAATGCCTGTGGGGGCTTACTTTTTCCCTTTATCACTTTCTGAGCTCGAAATCTGATGAGGGCATCTAGAAAGCAGATGCTCCGGGCTTGCCGGTCTCGACTCTCCTCATTTGATGGTAAAGACTTCAGCATTTCTATGATGAAGGAACAGTGTCTGAAACAAGGAAGGGAAACGGCAGCACGTGAGGGAAAAGCAGGCTGTGAGGCGGTGCACCAGCACACTGTCCCCATGCCCTCCACACACGCTGGAGCAAGCTAGCGAGGGAGACTAGCCCTAGCAAGGTGCACAGGGTTTGACTGACAGACTCCACTTCATTGAACAAGGTAGAACACAGGAGAGGACAATTCCTAAGATCAACCCCAGACCTCCACATGTACACGCAGCCCCCCCCATATACACACAAAAAAACCTTTTAAAAGTTAAACAGAGTAGGAGAGTGGCTCAGCAGTTAAGAGCACTTGCTACTCTTGCAGAGGACACTGGTTTGTTTCCTAGCATTCACACTGGGCCACTCACAAATGACTATAACTACAGATCTAGAAGAGGCAATGACATCTTCTCCTGGCACCGACACCCATGTCATATACACATATAAACAGACATAATCTTATAAAAAAGAAAGGAATAATTAGAAGGCTCAGAACTAAGAAATAATCTAACCATCATCATTAAAAAAAATGTTTTAAGAGGGCTAATCTGTTATTTAAACTAAATATAAAATATTTGAAAAATGCATATTTAATTATAGAAACGTTTTCGAGCATGCTGTCACAGCTGTCACTCTGGTTAGCACCTATGCCGATGCCAGCCTTTGGGCATTGCCAGGGACAATGAGCATCGGGGTCTGGGGCTAGCTTTGGTGCCAGGCCCCAAATCACAGGACCCTGCCATCATCTCTCCAGCTATATGCTCTACACACATGAGCCAATCCTCTTCCTTGAATCTGCCCACAGCCTGAAAGCCTAGTGTCAAAGCTCACTCCTCCATCCCACGGCTGAGCAGATGCCTCCCCAATGACTCCGAGTGTTATCAGCAAGGTCTTGCTTTGTGTCTGACTCCCGTTTCCCATCCTGACTCACAGATGCCCCCTCCACCCATGAATACCTGTTCTCTTCGATCATCTTCAGTATGTCTTCTGATGTGACCTTTCTGAAAGCTTCTGATGGGCTCTCAAGAGCATCATACTCAGCCTGGGACAGAACTGGTTACAGGTTAAGAACATGACTGACCAAAAGGGAAACCCACTGAGCTAAGTCATCTCACGGGGCCTCATTTCTCAGGCAGGAAAGCTAAGGTCCATAGAGGAAGCAAGGTGGAGTGCAGAGACCATATTCTTAGACCCCAGCCTAGGGGTCACTTCCTACCTGGACTGCCCTTCTCACTTCATTACCAGAGTCTCTGTTAGCATTCTCCAATTAGTCAGACCCACTGAGCCGTGGAGTTCTATGTTCCAACCCTTCTTTCAGTGTGTCTGCTCTAGACTTGGGTACAAGCCAACTCTAGACCCCCACAGGGCTAAGCTGTGCCTGTTTGTCTTGTTACTGAACAATGGGTTTGATTCCCAGGAGTGGGTCCCTCCACTGATGAGGAAACTGAACTGACCAACCAACCTCTTGTCAACAGCACTGGGACATGGTGAAAGGTTTGGATGCTGCATTTATTGATGTCACAGGACCATGACCACCCTTACACAGCCTGGTTCTGCCAATGGACACAAACATCATAGCCTGAAAATTAGGCACCTTTCCAATGCAAGGATACTGTCTTCAAATCTGTACACGTCTTCGGGCTTGGTTGCATCAGCATAGCAAGGAGGAAGGTAGAGGGAGTCATCCTGCAAGTCATCCTGCATGGCATCGCTAACCAGAGCTTTAAATGGAGGGAAATTAATATGAGTGTTACCCTGTCTGGCTGCAGGCTCCCCAACACTCCATGCACCCTATGCAGTGGAGACCACATGGTCCAAAACTCAAATCTGAACACCTGCTGAGATCTAAACTGCCCACCAGGCTGATGCTCCAGGAGCCCCAGCGTGTTTACGCTCTAACTTAGAACTGAGTTAAAGAGATGCCTGGTAATAATAATCACTACACAACATCAGAGAAGCTACGGCCAGGCACTAAGAGCAAGGCTTGCACATGTTCCCTCCCATGCCTGTCTCCTTTCCTTGAATGAGGACAGGACAGTGCCACATGTTTCTCATGCTTCCAGAGTCATCCCTGAGCAGGTTGTCAGCAAGCAACAGGAAGGAATCCAGCCTTAAAGCCCATTGCTTGCATATGTGAGGTGAGTGACAGATCTCAAGTCACTGCAGGCACATTCCTTACCCCAAGCTCCAGCTACTTACCTTGCACACCCTTTGTATCAATAATGTTCTCTGCAGCTTTAGTTACTGTGAGATTCAAAGATTCGCTGCCAACTTTATTCATTCTTCTGGAGTTCAGGGACCGTTTCTGCTTGGTGCTTCCAAAGGCTTCAATGCAAGAATCCAACTGTGTAATAAACAAACCTGATCAGTAAGGACAGGCTGGACAGCACAACTGTTGCCAGGTATGTAAGCACAAGCATGCTTTGGGCTCCCTGAGCCAAGATTACCTCACCTGTCAATCAGGCTGTCCACCTCAGAAGACTGTTCCACATCAGAACTAGGGTTTGCTCTACTGACTCCCAGTTACAAATCTATAGTTAGTTTTCCATCAGTACAAAAAGAAGACTTGACTGGAATTAGGGTTGGTAAATCTGTGGCACACAGCCTGCCAATGTGCCTTCTGCTCCAGTAACGGACATTGTTAATAAACCACTCACTCTCCCTGAACCACAGAGGAGTCTTCTCTTTGCAGCGGTCCAGCAGTACTGAAAGTTCAGTCTGCCACCCTGGGGCAAAATGACTTCCCAAAGAATCCTTCCTCTACCCTGAGAAGCTCAAAGAACTTACTTGGTTCATGTGAGTCCCCAGGTACAACCATTTTCTACAGTGCGGACCAAAACCTAAGACATTTTCTGCTACACCTCCATCAGCCCAGAGAACAGCGCAGATGCCAACATTAGCTGTGTTCACCTGGCCAAGGCAGCAGCAGGCCTGCTCCCTGGGAGACCCGAAGGCCTCTGCAGGCAGCAACCAGGTAGAGAGCCACAGACCAATTGAGCTGGAGCAGCCAGAGATCCCACATTCAAGGGGGCTGTGACATTGATGGGGACACCAGGCCCGAAGGAGCTTCCTTAACTGCTACTCACCTTCTCCCTGAAAGTCTTGGTCTGGTTCTCTGGAGGAGGCTCCTGCTCAATAGCATCTTCTACAGAAACACAGAACAGGAAGAGAGCACACTGTGAGGCTCACAAGTGAGTGTTTTACTGGTTTTTTTTTTTTTTTTTTTTTTGTCTTTTTGTTTTGTTCATTTGTTTGCTTTTTAAATGGGGTCTCACTATGTTGCCTAAGATGGCCATAAACTTGTGAGCTCAGCTGATACCCTGGTCTCAACCCAGAAGCAAGGGGGACTGTAGCCAACTGTGCTCAGCTCTGCAAGGCCTTAAAAAATATTAATAGCTCTTGATATTTATTTAACCTTAATCTAAGAAAAACAGATTTTCTTATTCCGAGATTTCTCTGACATGAAAGTACACTGTGAATACTAACTGTATACCTCAGTGCATACGTAAGAGAACTGGGGGAGGGGTGTCCTCTGACCCAACCTCTTAGTTCATAAACAAGGACAAATGAGGCCGCAGACACAGTGATGGGCTCTTACTTGTCATACAGTCCTTAGCTTAGTCCTTGAAGCATATTAAGGAATCAATAAATGATTCATTTAAAAATTATATGCAGGGCAGTGGTGGTGCACGCCTTTAATCCCAGCACTTGGGAAGCAGAGGGAGGTGGATCTTTGTGAGTTCAAGGCCAGCCTGGTCTATTGAGTGAGTTCCAGGACAGGCTCCAAAGCTACACAGAGAAACCCTGTCTTGGAAAACCATTATATATAAAATACATATTTCAAATTACAAACAAAACAAAAACACTTGTCAAGAAGGCATCCTATTACGGCTGAGGATAAGCTGTGTTTGCCAAGTAGATACCAAGTTTTGAGTTCCACCCCTTCACCATATAAGCTTGCATGGTGACACACATCTGTAAGGTCGGCACTCAGGAGTTGATGGTAGGAGGACCAGAAATCCAATGTCACCTTCAGCTACCCAGCAAATTCAAGGGCAGCCTGGACTGCATGAGACCCTCTCAAAAAGGTATATGTGGGGGAAGCCATTTAGAAAAAATTACAAACGGCCTTTTAGAAAACAAATTGAGCTAATCCAACACACCCAAACAAACTGTGTTGCCTTTAACCGAGCATTCATTTCTGGAACCTACCAGCAAACAGTGGCTGCATATTGAACAACTCAGCATCATATACTTCCATCTGGCCAGAGGTCTTATTCAGAATTCCCACAAAGTGTCTGAGTAAAAGAGGAATAATACAATAGTAGCTTAATTAAAAGGTTATTATTCACACAACCCTCTCCTTTTCCTGTTTACACATCCCTAGCTCCTTTCTGCCAGAGAAAGGCATCCACTGCTCACATGTAACAATAACCCCTGCACTGAGAGGGAACAGTGGGTGATAAAGAGGGAGGAGACATAAAATGGCCGTGGACTGAAAAAGTCACCAGATGGTTCCGATAACCAATCACATCTAAAGCCACTGCTGTTAATGGGAACCCTCCTGAGGTAATAAGACTTTAAACAGAATTTTGGCATGTCTAAATTTTATGGAGACAAATACAAGTAAAACCTTGTCCCTAGGGGGAGAGCATCTCTGTAAGGGGGATGCAATGTTAAGATTCAGCACACTGCGTGACTGAAGGCTGTGTCCCAGCAGGGACTCTGAAAGGCCTTCACTGTGGTGCCATCATGAGATTCCATCCACACTGTGTGAGCCTGTGATTATAGACTCTTCAGGCTGGATGGTGCTGTCGCACATAAGACACCAGAGCTGAGTGAAGGGCAAAGTTGCTAAAGTCATTCACTTCCTCAGTGACATTGCTGGTGGGCTGCTTTGTTCCAAGCCAGAAGCCTTGAAGATACCAACTCCTCTTGTCCCAAGGCAAACTTGAGGCAAGCTTTGACCTGATGATCACACATTCTAAATCAGCAGACATAGCTATCTTTTGGGATAGAAGAGTCACAAATAATGTCATAATAAACGAGGTCTTTAGGAACTTGCCAAACGCAAGCCATCTTTTCCTTTCTAAGGGTGTCTACACCCCAAGTATATGGAACTTGTGAGTCTTGAAACATGAGGTCTTAGCAGATCTGCAGATGTCCCCAACTATGAAGATAGTGGTGTCTGTCACCACTACAACCCTCCTGGAGCCTTTGTGTCCATTACCTGCAAAGAGTGTTGCATTTGAGGGCACCAGTCCCAAAATTGTTTCCAACATAGGAAAGCCTGTCTGTTTCAGCTGCCTGAAAAACAAGGGAGTGTTACAATCATCATTGGAGGGTCCTGAGCGTGGACTCCTTTTGACATGTGCAGAAGCCTTAGAATCCAGGACCAAAATGACTGGCCATACATATCCTCCAGGAGGTGATCCAGCTCCATCTTATCTTCAGGAATCTAGGGAGGCTCGGGGGGACCCCAAATACCATATGGAAGCTTCAAAATGATAGGTAAAGTTCTGGGATTGCATGAAATTTAAAAGCTTCAGGCTGGGCATTGGTGGTGCACACCTTTAGTCCCAGCATTTGGGAGGCAGGGGCAGGTGGATATCTGTGAGTTTGAGTCCAGCCTGGTCTACAGAGCAAGGGCCAGGATGGACTCCAAGGCTACACAGAGGAACCATGTCTCCAAAAACCAATAAATAAATAAATAAATAAATAAATCTTTCCTGCCAAGTATAACAATATTCATCCAACAAGGGATTGATTCTTAGAATATAAGAACAGTAAAAATTAAATATAAAAACCCTCAAATAATTTAGTCAATAGTGAGCTGATGAGCCAAATAGACAGTTCTCAAAAGAAGTGACACTGGTGCCCAAAATATCTATAATTGCTCAAGACCCTTAACCGTCAGATACAAATTACAACTGCTGTGATGCCTGCTGGGTCGGCTCTGTGGATAGAACATTTGTGGTTTGGATGATAATGTGACTTAGAGCCCCAGAACTACATGGTAGAGAGCAGAGCCAATCCTCTAAGTTGCCCTCCGACTTTCCACATGCATACATGTACATACAACACACATGCTTTCTCACACAAAATAAACTTTAAAAATACAAAAACAAGCCGGGGGGTGGTGGCACAAGCCTTTGATCCCAGCACTTGGGAGGCAGAGGCAGGCAGATCTCTGAGACCAGTCTGGTCTGTTACAAGATCGAGTTCCAGGACAGCCTTCAAAGCCTCAGAGAAACCCTGTCTCAAAAAAACCAAAAAGCCTGCTTTGAGGGCTGGCAAGGTGGTTCAGTGAGTAAAACTGGTTACTCCTAATTCTGATGACCTGAGCTCAATCCCCAGGACCCCCGTGTTATAAAGAACCGTCTGCCCCAAGTTCTCCTCTGACCTCCAAATGTGCATCATCCTTTCCTCCCTCCACAAACTCACACAAATAAATAAATGTTTTTTAAAAACTGCTTAGAGAGCCAGGCGATGGAGGTGCAAGCCTTTAATCCCAATACTTAGGAGGCAGAGGCAGGCAGATCTCTGAGTTGGAGGTCAGCCAGCTATGTTTACACAGTGAGTTCCAGTATAGCCAGAGCTGCACGGAGAAATCCTGTCTCCCAATGTGAAAAGTCATCGTTTCACCCAAAATCTTGCACCTCGGTGCAGCAACAGTCCCATTTGCTGCTACTCCTTTTCTCCCCTCAGGCCCTCCCGTATCTGCCCACACTTACCAGGATCCGCTGATTCCTCAGCCTGGGGTTTACCAAGTCGTTGCTGTTGTACAAGGTGAAGCGCATGTTGCCTGGATTCTGAAGCTTCCCATTGGAGAACTGGACTGTAAATGTAGCCCAAGAATGAGATGAGAGCAGGGCCAGGAGAGTGTGGTGGCTAAGAACTGCACTGTGGCTGAGAACCCATGGCGAAGGCAAGAGAGCGCATGTCCCACTTTTAGGGGGACTGAAGGAAGTACTGGTCCACTACTAAAGAGGGAGATGGGAAGGGGGTAGCCTCTGGGCAGAAAATTGACTGAGGGGATGTCATTAACTGGAGGAAGAGAGGGAACTCTGCTCCGTGAAGAGGAAAATGGGCGAATGAGAAACCTGGTGTAATCGCCAAGTCCTTGGCACTGCCCTGAGAAGTGTCCTCGTATGTGAAGTCACGACAGAAGGACGGGAGGATGGCGGGGACTCTGTCCCAGCTCCAGGCAGTGAGCAGGAGGGCTACATGGTGCCCCAGACAGAAGGGGATTAGGGTTATGCGGTACTCCGCGCCGGTCCCGCAGTCTTTACCCAGCACAGCTCTCTGCCTGTCGTCGGGCTCTCCACAGTACAGCCACCTTGCACTCTGTAGCCCGTCTGTCTCCGTGTCTCCACTCTGGCTGTCCAGCCTGGAAGACTCCAGGGTAGCCATGAGCTCGCCGCTTCTCACGCGGACGCATACACCGGAAGTGACACTCTGATCCCGTTCAGAGCACGCCAGCCGCGGAACCACACCCCCTCGCGTGGAGGAGCTCTTTCCGCGATGGCCACGCCCCCTGGTAGGAGGGCCTCTGCGAGATGCGGCACCTGATTGGCATAGTGCTCGCGCTTGCGCCCTAAGGGTTAGTAGCTCCGCTCGCCAAACGCCGAAACACAACGTCGTCATCCCACGTCTCGTGTGGACCTTCCTCCGATTTAACATCATCTAGGTAGAGGACTGTCTTTCTTCCCACCTTCCCAAAACCTGAAGACGCCAAGCTGAAATTTAGAACACTCAGACATGAAGTTCTAGAGCACCAAGCAGATGTGGCAGTGGGGCAGCTGCTGCTCGGTAGAGCTACCGGTCCACAGAGCTGGAGAGCAAGCTTTATACATCTCCCACCTCTGGCGGAGGATAGAGCATAAGGAGAGACGCAGAACTCAGGTCATTTGGACAGAGGCTCCTGAAAGTGGAACAGGAGAGAGAGTCTTGGCTGATGGGCAGATTGAATAACCCTTTTTCCTCGTGGGGAGCTATCATAGCTAGGGGAAGGAGAAGCATAGGCCCAGGCCGGTGCCCTTTTGCCCAGTACAGGTCATGGCTGATTCATCTCTGATCTCCAAAATACTGTCTATTGAGAACCCCACGCCCACCTCAACACCCAGACAATTACAATGACACTAATGTCTGCATGAGTCTTTGGTACGCTTTCCTATGACTCCATTATAGGAACTACACACACACACACACACACACACACACACACACACACACACACACACACACACAGTGAGCCCAGGATGGTGGCTCACACCTTTAATCCCAGCACTCAGGAGCCATAGGCAGGCAGATCTCTATGTTCAAGGCCAGCCTGGTCTACAGAGCAAGTTCCAGGACAGGCAGGGCTATACAGAGAAATTGTGTCTTGGGGAAAAAATAATAATAATAATAATCGCAAGTACATTACAAAGAACTATTCCCCCATAGCATTTAAATTGTCAATCTGATAACCCACTCACCACTGAAGACTGACATTCCTATGGACAAAGGATTTGGTATAGTTTGAGTGTGGAGTGTCTCCCAAATACCTATATATTAAAGGCTTGTTCCATGAGGCTGGAGAGATGGCTCAGCAGTTAAGAGCCCTTCCTCAGGTTTAGTTCCCAACTGTCTTGGCAGGCAGGACAGCTCCAGCTGCAGGTAACTCCTGTTCAGGGGATCCTGTGGCCTCCTTGCCACCTGAATACATATGATCTGCACAAGCATACACACCACACACATACAGTAAATCTTTTTTTTTCTTTAATCTTTTAAAAGCTTGCTCAATACCCCCAAGAAACTGTTGGGAGAATGGTGGAAATTTGGAAGCCTTGGAGTCTCTTTAAGACATGGAAGGAGTGTGACCTCAGAGGATAGTGGAAGACCCCAGGCCTTCCTCTTCCTTTCTTTTTTTAAAAAATAATCTTTTTAATTTTTTAAAATTTATTATGTATGCGCGCGTGCGTGCGTGCGTGCGTGCGTGCGTGCGTGCGTGTGTGTGTGTGTGTGTGAGATCCTGGCTGGTCTGGAACTCAATCTGTAAACCAGACTGGTCTCAAACTCACAGAGATCTGCCACCCAACTTTGTCTCATATATTTCATTACAATAACAGAAAGGAAAAAAAAAAGTTGACTAAAGTAGGGCCTCTCTTTAAGTAATTTCAATATAGCTACCAGAATAAGAAAATTAACATTGATGCAACTATATAATACTCCCATTATTCAAAGTCACCTACCACCTCAATGCTGTCTTTACAGCTAAAAGAGCTGGTCAAAACCCTGTTGCAACCTGACGTCGTGCCTTGTACTTGTGAATCCAGCATTTGAGGGGCTAAGATAAGAAGATTGCTGTGAAATTGAGACCAGCTTGGGCTCAAGTGAGAACAAACTCACTCCTCTCTCTCTCTCTCTCTCTCTCTCTCTCTCTCTCTGCTTTTATCTGTCACAACTCTGACTGGAAGGTTACTTTCTTTGATCCTACCCAATTGTTTTCAATTGATTGTTTCCAGAAAGGAAAAGTAAAGAGATGAAAAGGGCGTCATTGTCTAATTATTCACCTGCTTTTTCTGTCAATCTTTTCCATACTAAGCTTATTTGAACTTAATAACTAATTTGGAGCTAATTAGAAACACATTTCATTTTTAGATTATTTTATTTATTTAAACTAGTTTCTTTTCTTTTGGTTCATAGGTTTGGACATTTTGGTCAATGACTGATTGGTCCCATAGCTTCAAGCCGTGGTGAGTTGTACATCACAACAGCAAAGCTGTTCACCTGGCAGTCAAGTATGAAAGAGGAGAAGGGGGAGGATGGAGAGATGGCTCAGTGGCTAAGAAGTAATGTGTGGTAAAACAAAACTGCTCATTTGGTGGTCAAGTATGAAGGGGTTGAGGTCCCCTGTTCTCTTTAGGCTCAGGTTGTCGCCAAACTCCACCTACTATGTACCTGAGGGTGACTATGAATTCCTCATCCTTCTGCCCAGGGCTGAGTTATAGACATGTACCATGCCAGCCAGTAAATCTACTTCTTTTCTTTAACTTCTGCACCTCCAACTCCTGGGAGGTTCTGTACAAATGGAGATTCTCAATAAATGTTGAATGAGAAAGCTGGCAAGATAGCTCAGTGGATAAAGGCACTTGCCATCAAGCTTGATGGTTTTCCTAGGACTCACCTAGTGGGAAAAGAGAGCTTCCACAGTAACGTACACCTGTACACACTGACAGTAAGTAAGTAAATGTAAAACAAATGACTATTGAACAAATGAGTGAAAAGCTAGGTAATAGGTCAGAATATTGAGGAATCCTTGGAGTTAGGGCAGGGAGTGAATCTCAAAGATACTTAGTAATGTTCTTGGAACCAGTTAGCATAGATACTATGCTTATGTTCACTGGTTAAGTGAAAATGAGCAGGTATATGGAAGTTAAGAGGTGTCAAAGAAAACAGTAATATAAGGAATCAAATACAGCTCTCAAAGGAAGTGCCCTGACCTTTGTATAGTATAGAGATACTGTGGCTGTGCTACTCAAAGTGCCATGGTCTGTAGAAACAGCAACATCACTACCCAGAGCCCATCAGATCTTCTGACTGGAAATCAGAATGTGGGAAGCTCTGTCACACTAAAGTCCTCTGCATTGGCTGCTGTCTTACTGGTGGGAAAGTGAAGATAGATGGTCTGGTCAGGAAAGGAAGTTTTACAGATGGGGAGCTGGGTCAGAATTGCAGTCTACCTCAATGTTGTTCAACTAGTTAACAGTGACTCAGAATACACAGACAACATATACATATGCATACATTAAATAATAACTGAAATGGAACAGGATGCTGGAAGCCTTGTTCAAGTAACGATGTAAAGTCAAAAATTTACAGTGGTTTCGTTTGGATTAAAAACATGCATTACTAAAAGTACACAAAAATTACCATAAGAATCTTTACTTCCTAAAAGTAGTCTGGAAACCCAGAGATATCTGGAATTCTCTGGGTTTTTTTTTTTTTGTTGTTGTTGTTGTTTTGTTTGTTTGTTTTTCCAAAGGAAAATTTGAATGGGGCTGGGAGGAAGGGCACAGGGAGCTGCAAATTTCTCCTTTTTTAGGGCAATATCGCCATCTGCTGGTGTTTCAGGGTATCGCTAATGAAGGTGGAAATGCAAGGGAGATCCTGGTTTGTGGTGGTTTATCCAGAACTCCAAAAGTAACTTTTTCTCCCGCTCCCCCATCTTATTTCTCATCTCATCTTCCTTCCTTGTACCTCTATCTCTGCTTTTCCTCCATCCTCCTCTTCTGTGTCACTCACTCTGTATTCTCCTCTCTCCTCTTCGGTGTCACTTGATGCAGGCTGCAGGAGCACCTATAGACGTGGCTCTGTAAGGCTGACTTTATAGTGGGCAGGGTTTTCTTTTGTTTCGTTTTGTTTTTCTTTGCATGGCTAAATCTACTGCAGCTTCAATCTACAGCTCCAGTTCTGATCTCTAGGGCCATGGAGAAACCAACCAATTCATCTGCTGGAGCCTTGCAAAAGCTTCCCTCCTCCTCCTCTTTGTCTCCCTCCTCTTCCATTTTCCGTGCCTCCCATTCACCTGCCTTAGCAACTGCTTCCAACTTCTCTGCTGTGCCTTACACACCAACATTTGAAATTCTTTTTCTATCCTGGTTACCTCTGTGAGCCATATGCCAATATACCTAGATCTGATGCCCCACATGCATCAGTACCCATCCCTGGGCTAGACAACATGGAACAGAGAGTTCATCCTCTGCATGCCAATGTGTGCATTGTTTATTTACTCCTTTGCTTGTTTGTTTACAGACAAGATCTTGGTATATGCCCCTGGCTGGCCTGGAACGAACCACAAAGACCAAGCTGGCCTCTAATTTGGGGTAATAATACCTCCCCACCTTCTAATATTTGGCTGGTTGTGTTCATTTCTAAGTATTTCTACTTCTTGATGAACTTTGGGATAGCAGTAAGCAAAGCAGCAACTTTTCTTTGATAGGTTCTTACTTTAGGGATGCCCTTACATGCACTAAGTAGTAACTCAGAACTTGAGATCACTTTGCCTCTTCTGCAGGTAATCAAGATCATAGGTGTGTATCAAAACACTCAACTAACAAGTGACTTCACTTAAGTCACGACATTCTTGTTACATTTTAAATTAATTATTATTATTATTATCATTTTTTGGAGACAGCGTTTCTCTGTGTAGTCCTGGCTATTCTGGAACTTGTTCTTTTAGATCAGGCTGGCCTCGAACTCACAAAGATCCACTTACCTCTGCCTTCCAAGTGCTGGGATTAAACACCTGGAATTTTATTTTTTGGTTTTGCAATATTTTTAAATAAAAATAAAGATTCACGAACAGTGAGGTAGCTCGGTGGGAAAAGGCACTTTGCTGTGAAACTTGGCACCTGGGTTCAATGCCCAGATCCCTCAGAGTATAGGGAGAGAATAAACTCCAGCACGTTTTTCTGCATGTGTGCTGAGGCACGTGAATGCACACACATGCACAATAAAATAATAGTAATAAATAAATAAAAGACGACAAAATGTAAAACAAATGAAAACAAAGAATCAGACCTCTATATTAAAGCTTGTTAAACACTGAAGTATCCTTGTTTTTCCTGACACCACATTATCAAAACAATTATTAAAGCAACAATATGTAATGTAGAATAATAGAAAATACAGAAAGGATAATAAGAGTGTAATAACCCATGATCCCACATACCTTTTAAGACAGCCACTGTTAACTTTCCATTTCATTCCTTGGGTTTACCTCTGTGCTATGTACTTTTTTTTCTTTTTATTTTTGAGCAGGGTCTTACTATATAACCCTGATCAGTCTGAAACTCACCACATAGACCAGGCTGACCTCAAACTTGAACTCACAGAGATCCATCTGCTTCTACCTCTAAGTGCTGGGATTAAATGTGGGAGCTACCATACCTGGTTGTATTTTTATATAATTGATATTCCATTGTATTCAGCTCTATACAGAGCTCTCTTTAAAAACATATTGTACTGGGGTGGGGGATAGTAGAACATATGTGACTTGAAAGAACAGGGAGAGAATATTGGGAGGTAAAGGTTCAGTCTGGGATGGGGACTGGGATGAGGGAAAGGAGAGATCGAGCCTCAGAGGTTAAGCAAAACTAAGGATGTATGAAGAAGTCTTAGGAAACCCTATTAGCTTGTGAACCAACCGAACATTAATTTTTAAAAATTTATTTTTATTCATGTGTACATGTGTGTGTGTGTCTTTGCCTCTTGTGTGAAGGTGCCGGGTGAGGCCAGAAGAGGGTGTAAGAACCCCTGGAGCTGGAGGTAAGGCAGTTGTGATCCTCTTGGTATGGCTGCTGAGAACCAAACTTGGGTCCTCTGCAACAGCAGCAAGTGCTTTTAATCACTGGCCCATCTCTCCAGCCTACCAAGCTTTCCTTTTCCTTTTCTTTAATCTTCTTCTCCTCCTCCTTCTCCTCCTTCTTCGTTTTAAGAGATTGAACAGAAAGGTCCCCACTAGGGAACAATGCTGCTCCGAGAAGATGGGTTATTAGATAAAAATCTCAGTGCCTGGCAAGGTAGGTATTGGTCAGCCTGGTCTACATAGAAAGCTTCAAGCCATCTAAGCTACATAATTAGACCCTGTAATTAAAAAAAAAAATCCATCCCTGAGTGGGGAAGGGCCCCCCAGGGCTGAGGAGCTATTCACAGTTGATTGGCTGCTGCAGTACGGGGTAGGGGGAGGGGAGAGTCACCTTCCTTTAGGATTATGGCCACTAGTAGCCCCATGGATGATCCCACAGCCCAGGGCATATTGGACCTAGTAGCATAAATGACAAAGAAAGCAATTATAAAAGGAGGACCCGCCTCCTGAAGTCACCCTGCTCACAGCCCAGCTAGTACTAGCCAGCCTGTCTTTGTCTCTAGCACAGAGCTGCTGGACAGAGACCCAGAAAGAACAGCTACCAGGAGGTCAGGAGACCCTGATGGGCGCTGGGCCTTCGCCTTCCCCTCCCCACCAGATCCTGTAGACTCTTTTGCATCATTGCTAGAAGGGTTGAGCTGAGCCCTGCAGTTCTAAGGTGGTGGCGACTGCAAACTTGGTTCTGGAGCCAACACTGTGATGGGCAAGAGTTGGACTTGGATTTGGGACCTGCCCGTGGCTATGTCTGGACAACAGGGCAACCCAGTTGAGACTCGGGAGACGACCAGCCCAATGGCCACTAGGCATCACTTCCTGCTCATTGTGAGGCTTGCATTTGGGTTCCATCCTATTCAAAAGGCTTCTTGTTTGATATTTTGTTTGTACTCTGACAAAGTTTGTCTAAAGATCAGAGGGCAGAGGTAGCCACTAGTTATCAGTAGAGGCCAGGCAGTGGTGGCCTCTTAATCCCAGCACTTTTAATCCCAGCATTTGGGTTGAAACAGGAAGATCAGGAGTTCAAGGCCACTCTGGGCTACACAAAATTGAACCAGTCTAAAAGAGAAACAAAGACAGGCGATGGCGGCTCACACCTTTGATCCCAGCACTTGGGAGGCTCATTCCTTTGATGGCAGCACATGGGAGGCTGACGCCTTAATCCTGGCACTAGGGAGGTGGAGACAGGGATATAAAGTGGATAGAGACAGGGTGCCCCCTCCCCCATTCAGTTTGAGGATTCCTAGAGGTAAGAAGTGACTGTGGCTTCTCCTATCTTTCAGCGTTTTCCTCGATATCTGACTCCGGAATTTTTATTGTTAAGACTAATTAGGATCCCACTTCAGCTTCTTGGAATTTCGTTTTTTCTCTTTTCCCAAATCTACAAGTTGGGAACTTCCTCCAGGGCGCTGCATGAGGGAACCCCAGTGGGGACCAGCATCAGACACCAGGGTAGCTGCCGGACCAGGGTGGGAAAGCTGTCAGCACCAGCCAATGGAGGGACACAGGGGTGGCAGTCTTTATTGCGATTGGCTCAACCAGACGGAAAACCCTAGCTTTCCTATCCATGGTGGATTTTGATTGGGTGTGACGCAAAGTCACTTCGCTACAGTTCAAACCTGGTGTTGCTTAGTGATAGATCCCGCCTTCAGAGGCCTCTGAGAACAACTTTACATGTTGTAAAGCAAACTGTGATTGGTCACAGCGCTCACGGATGCTTTGGTAGTAAACACTGTCCCGTTCTTGGGCCCGCGGATTGGTCAGGTTTTTCAGACGCCACTCCTTGCCGTGGCACCGCCCTCCCTCCTGCTGATTGGCCGTGGGCGGTTTATGAGGGCGGGGATATGTACACCTCACATCCGTTTACTGTTGGCCGCCGCCGGGTTCGCAAAGAACCGCGCGAACCGGCAGACGGAGCCGGGAGCGAGAGGCGGGGCGGGCTCGGGGGCGGGGCGGGCGGAAGTCCCAGCCGGGAAGCCAGTCTGGACCTTCCCGCCTCCTTCCGCAGGGTCGGTCCGAGCGGAGGAGGGTCACCGCCTCCTCCAGCGCGGAGAAGGGGGGCGGAGCCCGGCTCAGGTGAGGCGACCCTATCAGCTGGAGTGGCCTTAGCCGGCGCGCCCGCGCACGGCGCGCTCACGTGCAGGCGGCTGAGCGCCGGGAGCGCGCCGAGGCTTGGGGAGCGCGCAGACACGTACCGGTGCCGCTGGTCCACCCTGTCTTGCAGCTGAGGGGTATTGTTACCCTTCGCCTCGGTGGGGCCAGGCGGGTGGGAGCCGGGTTCTTGTGCGCAGGCGTCCCCTGTGTCCCGACGCCCGGCTGTCTGCGCGGGTGGGGCAGGGGCTGGTGCCCTGCAGATCTCCCACTGGAGATGGAGCCTCCCGGGATGCTGTGGGGACGGGCTCCCGATCTGCATCCTGGCGGGATGAGCCGAGGCGCGGCTGCCCAGTGGGATGGAGGCGAGGGCTCTCTTGCCCCTGTCCTGGGTCCTTCTGAATGATGAGGTTTCGTTTCATCAGAGCAAGGCCACAAGCGGTCTGGATTCGGGAGCCAGCGGCCGACTACAGGGGTGGAGCCAGCGTTAGGGAATGCCCCAACTTGTTAGACAAAAGTGTTTAGTAGGCATTTATTGAATGCCCACTTCATACAGGCTTCGTGCGAAGAGCTGTGGGATGCGGTGGTAAGAGACAGCGGTCCGTCTTCTCCCCCTGGGGGCCGACTGCTCTGCACGTAAACAACAGTAGAAATAAGGCAGTGGGTTAAGGGGACTTGGAGGTTAGGGTTTTTGTTTTGTTTTTTTTTTTTTTTTAAGTGCCACTCACTATGGCCAATCTCTGCCCTAGCATAGTGGAGGATACTGTCGGAGCCACATTTTGGTTATTTAATTTAAGTTCATAAAACAAACTCGTCACTTTCAAGGCTTGAAACAAAAACATTTCCAAAATGTGTTCTTGTACTGTTGAGTTGCAGTGAGACATTAAGTCTTTGTATGAGATGATGTGCTTAACGTGATTTTAAAAGGTGGACCGGGCAATTCATTGTTTTACTAGAGGTTTTTGTTTTCATGTGCCAAAACGTTTTGGGGTTGGCAGTAAGCTAAAGTTGTGTGGAGAGGAGAGGACAGATGGGCAAAGGATAGTTTTAGAAGGAAGTGCCTAAGCTAAAGGAGGGCTTTCCACTGATGGCTGTAACCCCTCTGGAAATCTCAGCAAGCTTGGGAAGACAGATCTGGCCACTGCTGCAGACTTGGTGACCTGCCAGGTAAAGTTAACAGATTAAGGTCTCATCCTGGCCTCTTGGGTTTTGCTAGATAAATGAATCAAGACTTTTTGAATAGTTTGTTTCGTGGAGAATTGATTTTTTTTTTCTTCCTCCCTAAAAGTTGTGTGAAAATAACACTTTGTGTCTTGTCTGGCCACTTTTATTCTGGGTAATTAATGTGTCTCCAGCATAACTTTGCTGAATTGGTAAGTAGAGAGGTTTTGGGGGAAAGCATTTTATAGATGGGACATTTTCTTAATTTTAGGGGTCAGTGTGTTCAGAAGGGACTATTCGAGACTATCCAAGTGGAAGGATTAAAATAATTGGACATGGAAATGCATGCATTTCAGTATTTAAAGCAGCATTAATTCTGTTGGACACATAACAATGCCCTGTGTTCAGTGAGAGTGACGGAAGGTCTGGTGCTGCAGAGCCTTGAGTCTGCCTCCAGCTTTCCTAAGAAAGGGGAAAAAGAATCCAAAATACAGAGTACACATCAACTTTCAACTCAACTAATTTTTCCAAATGTAAATTACCTGTAAGTGTGTTTTACCTCTGTGGTTTTGATCACATGACTGTTCTGCCGTACTTGCCCTTTATTAAGTAGGGATGTTGGCTGCTGGAGGCCGAGTTCCTCAGCGTAGCAGGTGAGATGGAACGTAACACTATACTGCATCTTTTGTCTGGCTGAGGTGAACTTCTCATATGCTCAAGACCAGATGTTTCCAAGAAAATCCCTGGTCTTTACATTTTCCCGGGGATGCCTCTGGTTTCACTTATTATCATTCTGTTTTCTAAAAAGTTTTTATTGTGGGAACTGGAAGGATGGCTTAGCAGTTAAGAGCACTGCCTGCTCTTCCAGACAACCAGGGTTTGATCTCAGCACCTACTGGCGGCTCACCTTTGTCTGTAACTGCAGTCCAAGGGATCCAGTGCCCTTATCTGGCCTCATGCACAGGGTGCACAGACATACTTGCAGACAAACACCCATATGTGTAAAATAAAAATAAATGTTTCAAAAGCTTTTGTTATTGGCCTGAACAGGTTAGAAAGTATGTTGGCACACTGACTTGATTGTAACACAGAAGAGATGATAGGTTCTTAGTAGTTAAGCTTATTTTATCTGTAGATAATTTCCCTTTTGACCTAATAGATTTGAACATGTTATGGTTCCAGGAATTCTTTGATTTTAAGACTATTTTTAAAAATATTTAATTTTATTTTATGTGCATTGGTCTTTTGCCTACGAGTATGTCTGTGTGAAGGTGTTGGATCCCCTGACGTTGGAGTTACAGGCAATTCTGAGCCTCCATGTGGGTGCTAGGAACTGAACTTGGTCCTCTGGAAGAGCAGCCAATGCTCTTAACAGCTGAACCATCTCTCCAACCCTAAAACTAGTTTTACTTTCTTTGAAGATGGGATGGCATAAGTAAGTCTGTTCCAGCTTAATTGATATTGTTTATTCAGGTGTGGTAGCTCACGCCTTCAATTCAAGCACTCTGGATACTAGGGCAGGAGACTCTGTCTCTAAGAAGGAAATCATCAGCATTCTTCTTTTCTTGTGTTACACAAAATAATTCAGTTTATAGACATTGACATTTTAGACTTAATAAAATGGGGCAATTAAAAGACCTGTCCTCAGTTCATTGTAATTGCAATCAGTGAATTTCACAAATTTGCCTTTGTGCTCTTGAGAAGTTTGTTACTAAAAAGAGCTTATTAGGAGTGGGGTTCTTCCTTATATAAATGGAAATTAACAGACTGTTTGTTTTACAAACTTTAATGAATGAGTAAATGGTGGTGTGATTTTTGGAAATTACACATGATAATCTGTTGCTTTTTTTTTTTTTATACAAATCCTTTATAGTCAACTTCTTAAATTTATAATGAGTAGAGCGAATTGCTTCCTGGTTTTCCTGTATATGATGTTGTTAACATGGTATAATTGATTTTTCAGTACATCTTAATTATTCAGTCATAATTTATAATCAAGTCAACCATTATCTTTCTCTGAAACTGTAAGACGCTCACCTCTTGTAGTCCTGTTTTAGTCTATACCATGGGGAGGTGGAGGAACAATGACTAGGAAAACAATAGCTGCTCTTTCATCCACGCAGAAAGACCCCCCACACACACACACACCCTAAACACATCTAGTACAGCAACATACATTGTATTCTGTATTGAATAGATGGGCAGAAGCAGCTCAGCATGGTCAAGTACTGAACACTGTAACTTTTATAACTGGCTCATACTGAAACTGAACTCAGTAATAAGAAATTAATTCCTCTTTCTCCTGTTTTTCCTACTGGTAAGGGACTATAACCAGAGCATTAGGGCAGAAGTCCTCTAGGAGTCCCAGTAGGCTTGTCCCAGCCACCTGGCCCGACATGCCAATCAGAGTCAGCATTGGTGAAGGGTGGAAAAGCAGCTTTAACCAGTATGATCACACCAGGGAGGGCACACAGGTTCAGTAATCTCAGGTCTGTCTTGTATCTGCTGACAAGAGCTTGAGATTTTGTAGGAAGGGAAACAGGCTGAGACTGAAAGTTTGCAAAGCCTATGGAGCAGGTCATCTTGTCAGGCCTGTGGCCCCATTCCTATCTTGGGGTAATTTGCCCCCATGTGGGACTGATCTCATCATGGGGAAATCTTTTTCTGCCAGGTTAGCATTGATGGGGTTAGTTCCACTTCCCTGTCCTAAAGATGATTTTTGTTTTGTCATATTATTCCTAGAATCCAATGTAACTGCAGTACAAAAACTTAGAACAAAACTTAAGAGAGGAACAGAATGGAATCAGTTTGTCCCCAATGCTTAGGTATTGCTGTCTCCTTAGAACCCCACCCCCTTAAGAAATAAAATTCCAGACAGGTGTAGTGGTGCACACCCTTAATCCCAGCTCTAGGGAAGCAGAGGCAGGTAGATGTCTGAGTTCAAGTCCAGCCTGGTCTACAGAGTGAGTTCCAGGACAGCTAGGGCACATAGAGCAATCCCATCTGAAAAAACAAAATTCATTCCTTTACTTTCTCTTTTCTTATTTTGAGACAAGGTCTTCTTCTGTAGCTCTGAGTAGCCTGAACTTGCTGTGTAGATCAGGTTGGTCTTAATCTTGTTGCCAGCCTCATGCCTCTCTGCCTCGTAAGAACTAGAATTATAGGTGTGTGCCATGGTGTCCAGCCAAACTAATTCTGTTAGGAGTAAAATGCAGTGAAAGCTGTATGTGTGTGCATGCACACACTGTTGTGCAGGTGTGGAGGTCAGACGATTACTTTCAGGAGCCTGTGCTCTCCCTCCACTCGGGTTCCAGGAATTGAACTCTGATCATCCTGCTTGCACATCAAGTCCATCCTGCCTCCTCCTACCCCTCCTTAAGGCAGTATATATGCAGTCCAGGTTGGCCTCATGTATTTGAGAATAACCTTAAGTTTTTATCTTTCTGCCTCCATCTCCTGTATACTGTGATTATAAGTGTTCACCAGTGCATCCACTTCACTATTAATTGATGATTTTCAACCTTTATTTGTATTTTACATGTATGGTGTTTTTGCCTGCTTGTTTGTCTGTGCCCTGTATTCGAGCAGTGCCTAAGGGGGGAAGAAGTTGGAATTCCTGGGATTGAATTTACAGGTGGTCGTGAGCTACCATGTGGGTGCTGGGAATCGAACCCAGATCCTCTGGTACAGCAGCCAGTGCTGGTTAGCCACTGAGCCATTTCTCTACCTCCTACTTCTTAGTAGTTGTATTTCAAAATTATTTTTATTTTATACATGTGGTTATTTTTGCCTATACTTTTGTCTATGCACCACATGTGTGAGGAGGCCAGAAGGAGGTATTAGGTCCCCTAGAATTTGAGTGTCAATTTTGAGCCTCCATGTGGGTGCTGGGAATGGAACCTTTATTCTTACTTTTAAAGGTAGCACACTGTGTCTGACACTATACAAATTCATACCAAGACCTAGCTTCACTGTCAGTGAGACATTGGAGGTAACATTTGTGCTTCACATTTCACCTGCTATACATACTGCTTCCCACTTTGTTAAAGGCTCATTTCTGTGCATCTCCTTTTCACTAATCACCTGTGACACTTAGCACTCTTATCACCTAAGTCTCTGTTGGGCAGCATCTCACCTTGAACAAGTTAAGCACAAAAACAGACGGTTCTAGGGAGACAGCTCCGTCTGTAAAGTGCTCACCAACTCCCAGAACTACTCACATTAAACAGCTTGTGTAGTAGCGCATGGCTATAACCCAGTGCAGGGAGCTGGGGACAGTTGGGTCACTGGCTAGCCAGCCTAGCCTGATTCTTGCTCCAGACCAAGTGAGAGATGGTCTCATAAAACAAGGTGACCGGCTTCTGAAGAATGAAACCCAAGGTTGACCTCTGGCCTCCACACACATGAACTCACTTGAACATGCAAACACACACAGAACATTAGGTAGGAGGGTTTATATTCTAGATGTACATGTGTCTCCATGTGCTGTTGAGATCCCTGGGCGGTGTCACACTCCACAGCATGGCTCTGAGCTCCTCTTTCTTCCTTGTCTCTTGGTGCAGCCACCCTTGCCCTCGTTCTAGAGTTGCCATTGCCCATCTTAGTCAGGGAATGAGGAACACCCACATTTTATTTAAAACAAAAGACTGGGGGCTCGAGGGACCTTGCTGTGTGGAAATCTCTCACACATAGGCTTTGGTCTTTATTTGGCATGTTTTATTTCTCTATTTTGGCTGGTTTTAGAGTTAGTTGTTAATCTCAGAAAGCTGATTATTGAGTAGTTATGCTGTTTTGTCTCATTTAGATGTAACCAGAGTTTGTTCAAAATTAATTTGTCATTATATTACTTATCAGTCATTATGGAATTGCAGGGAACAGTCCATGTTCTCAGTAAGTTGTTTTAGAAGAAAAAAATTGAACTTGGCTAGGATTGTATGACATTTTTTTTTCACTCAAACTCACTTAAAGTTTCAGGTTGGTTTACCCCAAGGAATTTGGAAAACAAG